GATTTTTCTGGATGAAATCTTCAAAGATTTTTTTAGAATTTTATTCCAATGCAATATATTTTAAAATAATCAAAAATTATTCAACTTTGAAATCTTTTGTGAATATTTTTTTGACCAAAAAATAAAATACTATCCGATAAAATGCAAAAAATAATTTGAATTCGAAATCTCATTTTGATCAATAGTCAAGACATAAAAAATTTTCTGATTCATATGGTAAAGAAAATTGGAAATTTACTGGAAGATTATATTTAATACAAAAAAATCAAAATTTCTCTACATGTCTATACCAAGATGAAGCACAAAATTTTTAAAAAAAATTAAATTTAAAAAAAAAGAACTCTTCATAAATTGAAATGAAGTAAAATTTATGAACTTTCTTTATTCTTTAATTTTACATAGAATTCGCTGAAGGTTATACGAAGATACGAAGCCTCCAGACCTTTATATTTAAATTTTGTTTTTCAACAACATGATTAAGAATTTGTATGGAAATGTTATGTCAAATATTTGATGGCTTGAATAGAATAAATAGATGGCTTGAACAATATCCCACTCGATTGGCCTTCATTGGTGTAGAACATACAAAAGTTGCACACTGCTCTCAAATGTTCTAAAAATATAAACCCGAGAATATTGGATATGTATTATTATTAAACACTTGAAAGTACAGACTTCATCAATTCTAAAATCAGTTTACCTCAGGTATATAGCTTCGAAGTTCCCAGAAATTCGTCACGGTAGATACACTTGCTGAGCCTGAAACGCAATCTTAGCAAAAGTTTCCGATTCCATACCTCGACAACTTTTTAAACGATGGGATTGTAGGCAAACGATCGGCTAAAACTATCTCTTTCCAGGTTGCAAGCCTTCGAGCTAGAATCTCCTGTAAAATCGCAGGTGACACGAGACTATTGGTATAGTGCCACTTCAGAACGTACAACGCCAGCTCCAAATATTACAAAGCTCAGGATACAATGCCAGACAATGCCAGTAATGCTCACGCAGTGCAATTCTACGTCATCAGGTCCTAACCATGGAAACATGGCTGAACTGCCCTGGTGCCATGTCTTCGATCATCCGATCGATGTTTCCCAGCTGGCTCACTCCAAAGCAGTGCCCGAGCAATACAGCTGAAAAGTATCCTTCCCAGAGTACACTTTGCTCCAAAAGTTTGAGCTCGCATAGTTGCCTGCGGCTGCTGAGTCCGGACCTCAATGCTTGTCCGTTTCTCCGCTACAGACCAAAACATTCCATCTTGGAGCACGACATGCCAGTGTCACAGTAATGGGGGCCTCGAGCAATACTGTACTGTACAGCCAACAGGATGGGCCAACACCATCGACCCGTACAGGGATGGAACATGGAGCCAGGCCCCATTTTGATCCAGTCAAACTTGGATCCACAAACCGGTCGCAGGACATACGGACTCGCGTACTGTATTCATGAGAGAAGCGTATCGTGCGACATACGAGACGGACTGTCAGTGTGGTCAGAGGTGTATGTATACACGTAGCGGTCTGCGGAAGGTGCAGCAGTCAGCACACAAGGCCCTCTTTAAGGCTGCGAGATCGCCTGTACACTGTGTATACGTCTATTTTCTGGGAATGGCATGGAATGGAGAGAGCAATCATCACGTCAAGCCTTGAGACTTCACTGCTTCGGAATAACATGGCTTCGGGAGCAATGAATGGGAAGAATAAATGCAGTAAGTTACCCCGTCCATTCCCCCTGTGAGGTCAGTGGGCAAATGCCTTTGGAAGTTTATATGCTTCGCTGTAGAGAGTGGTACTCGAGAACTCGGGGATTTGTACCACCCTTCGAAATAGATTTTCGATAAAATGCACATAATGCGTATGTGAGCATGATGAGAGATTAGATTCAAGAGATTTGTATTCAAATACGTATTAAATTTTCCTGTAATATGATGGTATTCTAATCATGGCGGACGCCTAGGAGAACCTCATAATAACATACTTCAGTTTTAGAGAGAATATGGCAGGAGCAGTCACAGCTGTGTCAAGACTATGTTTACAAGGTCTCTTATGAGATCGTAAGCAAAAAGTCATTCGTCCTGATGATGTCAACAATTACGTCCATATTCAAGACTCCGGCTATTGTCCAGGTTCAAATTCGTCGGTTTTTTATTATCTTGGTATACAATTTGATGAATCTCTTACGTATGACAGCTCTCGACTGGCCAACAAGGAAATGTTTTAAAGTGTTGATAATTTCTGAAGGAGGACAGGAAAATGCGGCGAAATACAATCAGCATAACAAATTACCTCGAATCCTCGAGATAAATTAACATGCAGTTCCTGATTTTCTAGATGGCGTCTGACAGGTGCTGAGAAACTCGCTTACGTATGATGGAATTTACGAGTACGTGTTGTACGTATGAGAGTAGCTCCACATATCCACCGTATCAGATACTGTAGGCAATCTGTGATTCTATCAAACTGCAACCTGCTATCGAGGCAGGTTTCTGTACTCTTTGTTGTCTCGACGTCCTACCTACGTCTTGCAAGCACTTTGCTCCTGAGTGAGAGATTGAACGATTATAATAAGGACGGGTATGACTCTCAGGTTGGAACTCCCAAAAATACAGACAATGAGTCAAGTATTATTATGAGCTTCAAGTACAGTATTGAAGTCTCCTGTAAACCAGATTGTGGGTTGTGGAGTCTACTTCCTGCCCTTGTAATCATGTCTACCTAGAGTACAAAGAGATGCAACAAATTACAATATACACCTGCCATTGTCCATCCTCATCCAACTTCATGTCGACCAGGTGTCAGACCTTTATTTTTTTTAATATGTATCCTCTCTCTGACTGGAACATGTTTTTCTCAAGAACATTGAGGTGTATCTTACGATCATTTTAGGTTTATAAGAGTAAGACACAGTTTTGCCTCCTTTCCCACATTGGACATAACAAGCGTAATATTAAAAAAAAACTTTCTTGATCCTTCTTTATAATCATCACTTATGCACATTGAGTGATTAATAATCTGATATTCTAAAAATTTATGATCTATACTATAGAGTAAAATATATTTGGCTTTAATATCATTGTCAACCATGTCAAAGGTGTCTTATGATTATTCCACTTCTTACTAATAAATTATTTCTTCGAGAGTTTGAAGCTATCGAACACTGATATACCTTTGCAGAGGATATTCTTTACTTCAGTCATATCATAGTTTGGATCTAATCAACCTCGACAATCATTTAATTATCTATATTATCGATTATGGACAGTTGTTCCGTTTAGTCTTGGCGTGAGGCTCACTTACACGAAAGTGGTTGACAAATTTCTCATCATATAGACCAAAACAAATTTTCCCAAATCATGTCACTATATCTGACCAAGTTGTTAATACCATGCCTCTTTTTTTTTTTTTTTTCAAATTTAGCTCATGAATGTCATAGTTTTATATTGCCAATCTTCTCAAGAATAGATTGACTTGCTTGTGACACTTCTGCATGTTGAAATTGATGTCTATCTTACAATATTTGGATTCAGAGCATCTCTAATCAATACACTTTGTTTGGAAAACAATGCAGCTTAATAATAACAGTCATTTAATCTTGAATTTAGAGTGAATGTGAATGTGCAATACTTGTTAAAGAATTAAAAAGTCAAAGCAAATAAATAATTACTAAACGTACAATCTCTCCATGAGTATATTCTAATAAAAGATATTTTTGATATATTTTTATCAATATCTGGTCATTGATGACATAAGCATGAAGTTAAAAACATAAACATGATTATTATTCCTAATCCAGTAAAGTGTATATTGTTTTATTTTACAAGATGATTTTGCAACAACAGTATTTATATCTTTATTTATCTAAAATAATTTTAGAGAATATGTGAATGTGAAACTGAGTATGATATTACATAAATTGTGAACTGTATGAAACAACTTGAGAATTGTTGTATTTAAAAATCAATTCGTTGATGGATATCTTTCACGAATTCTGGGTCAACAAGAGTCATTTTCTTGTGTGTAGACATATATTCAGCACATACAAATTATTATCAGAAATGAAGATATGAATAAGAAGTTAATTTTGTTTTTGAATACCTCTTTTCCTTTCAGCTCACAACCATACAACTAATTTCTTCTTTAGCTTTAAATAAAAGTTTCTGCTTTACTTCGTAGTAAATCTTCATATCACATATCGTGAACAAGAATCACAAGTCTGAAAAGAAGAAAAAAATGATCATTTCTAACTTGGCGTTATCAATGTCTGATGTGCCCATGTTCGATCGTCGATTGCCCTGGATTTGATTTCTGCTTTGTTTTTAGAGTAGCGAACTGTCGCAACTTCGAGCACTTTAATTTACTTCCATTAAGGTCTCAGTCTTTGCTGTAACCATCATCATCCAACCACAGTTCGTTCACGGTGCAGAGCACGGGTAACGTAGTTCACCTTCACGGGAACGTAGTTCGGACTGCAGTGGTAGCGAAAACAAGCCACCTGGATGTTATACAGTACTGCGCCGTAGGCAGGGGCCGGGAGCGATCGTTCCACCGTCGAGGGTTGTGCAGTCGATCGATTCTGGCCCGCGTCGTTTGGATCGTCCGTTGGTACCCGAGCCTCGGATTTCCAGGAGGCCGAGGAATCGAGTCGAGTCTTGAATCCGTCGTCGAATTTTGCCGACGAGAAATTTCACGACACAATTTCCCCGCGGTCTGCGCCACATGGGTCGGAGGGGATTTCGACGAGAGCAGCGAGATTTTTGAAATGTAATTTTAGAATGGTGACAGTGAAACGAGCTGCTGCCGACGACAATTCCGATCGTCGAGGAGGAGGAGGAGGAGGACGGAGGAGAGGTTCCTGAGCACTCGATTCAAATGAGAAAATGATCCGCAGCGCCTAACAGACTCGAAGAGCGATAGATCGGAGCAGGTGAAATTTGAAGGTCGCGCAAGAGAGAGACAGAAGTGGTTGCCAACGAGGCTCGAGAACATTCAGTTTTTTTGTCAATTGTCAATTAGGGCTCGGCCAGTCTTGGCAGGAATGTAGTCGTTCTCTGGCACTAGGGCTAAATTAGGGCCTGCCTGTGCTCCTGGAAGATCGAAGGTCCATAATCCGCACGCAGCAGAATGCGAACCCTCGAGCAGGGGATGGATGGCTGTCGCGCAAACTGTCACCCCGACGAAAATGTCTGGCTCCGTTCTCGTTGCCTGCCTGCCTGCCGCAACCGGATGCTGTCGCTCGTCCACCCGGCCCTCGAGGTCGGCTGCAGCGGACAGCGAGGATTTCTCGGTGAGCGATATGGCTACCGAGAAGCTCACCTGGACAAAAAAGGCAACCGAGGCTCGAGCCAAATTTAGTGCCCTTCTTCTGAGGCATTCATTATGACGAGAGCTCCTTTTGGCGAAGAAGGGGAGGGCGGTCGACATGATGATCCGGATCCGCAACGAAATCTGCCTGGCTGGCGCATCGGCCAATGGCCCGCTCTCTCTTGTTGCGATTCTGTGAGCCTTTTGGACAAGGAGGCAGAATCCCTGGAGTGATTAATCCTGCCATTATGAAATCCCGAGCTAGAGGCCAAATGCGGAATCTTCTGATGCTTCTGATTTCCCCTTCGCTGTATTACTCGGTTTTGGGCATCTTCTGATGCCAGTTATTATCTTAATCTCGGGATTCAGTATGCCGCGACCCATTGCGTCCTCGGGCTCAAGGACCTGGAGGTCGAGGCAACGAGCGACATGAATTGAAAGCCCAGCTCAGAAAAACGGCGAGTTCTCCTCCAGCTTCTGCCTGCTTTCTCCTTCGCACTGCTGCTGCTGCTGCTGCTGCAGCTGCTGAGCAATATTGAGCATTAATGCGAGATCATGTCGGTCGTCAATCAGACGTGCAGTGAATCGAAGCCTACGGAGTTTCAGACACTGAATGCGGCCGGATGAGCATCCCATGTTTCCGTTCTAATGGTGCTCTAGGCACACTTATTTCGCTCTACACGTTCGAGCCCTGCATCGCCATAACCACGTCCGTGACGCTAGATCGACATCTCCAAATCTCATTACAGCCCAAGCTTGCTTCTCTCTCCATTCTCGAATTAATTGTCTCTTCGCTCCTCTTAACATTAACGTCCTCTCCAGGGCACACTTCAATAAAGTGGGTGAATTACAACTCCATCGAGCTACTTGGACAGGAGCTGCCCCCCGTTCCCAGGATCCAAGGCACGATTGTGCATTAGACAGCCTACAAATTAAATCCGAACCCGAAGAGTCTAGCAGAGGCAGTTAATTGTCCATTACACTCCAGGGAGCAGGCAACATTCTCGAGCTGAATTAATGGTTTTAGTGCTCTCCCTGAAACATGAATGGTTCAGTCATGCAGTTACTTGTTGCAGTTTTGGCCAGCAAGCTGAAGGATGCTGGTGGAAGAGCAAAGGTTTTTCCTCTTGGCCCGGTCCCCAGCACTTGAATGTCTTGAGGAAATTGTTGTGATTATTGATTGGCACGGGGTGGGGTTGGGGTTGGGGTTGGTGCCTCCATTCTAGGAGTATCAGAGCACGAGCACCGTTCCTTCAAGTTTCTTCATGCCACGAAGAAAATGTTGACGGATAGAACATTTAAGGGAGACTCTGCCTTCACATCCCAAGCATGGACATCAAGAAGTGGCATCTTATCGATCACAAACCCGAGAACGTAGCATTGGTGGACAGAGTGCTTAACTATCTAAATCCTTTCCGGTGAATTCTCACTGGTAATCAATAACCTATCACTAAAAAACTCGTCAAAGATGATTCTCTTCGTGATAAATATCATATCACACACCTCAGTACATGGTCCAAGGATGCTACCAAAGAGGTTCAATATATTAAATCCAAAGCTAAAAGGCTGATGAGTTATTACTCGATTGCCAGCAATCAAACGACACATAGAATTAGTGACGTGCAGAACTTATTCTCCGGGTTGAGTTACACATGCGGTAGGTAATTAGGAGTACACCCCAACTTTCTACAGTAGAAGCGTGTACCCATGGCTCTGCTCATGTAGAGCAATGGATCAGGTGATGCTTTTCGGAATGTTACCATACACACTTCCATCTAGATCGTTTGGTGATGCTTTGTTTGATACTGATGTAATGTGTAGACATCAGTGCCTAGATAATCAGAACATGCTACTGCAGGTCAGATGCTTGTCGTCGTGATTATATCAGACGTAGCCTTATCCTACCCCTCCTGTGTCATCCACGTAAGACTTGATGGGTCCTCCCGTACTTTGTGCTGTATTGCTTCTCAAGGGTGTCAATGCAATGTCGTCCCACTAGAATCAACAATGGGGTTCCATAAAAACATATTCAAAAAATACATTTCTTAATAAGAACCATCTCATCCACAAACTATTACTAGTCCTGGTTACGTTTTACTTCAGATTTTATGACTCGATACTGTATGAAGGGACGTGAAAGTGTGCAGCGCCACTGGATTTGAGAGTGCATCCTCATTTCTCGAGTCCACTCGGATTTGTACTCCCATTTGTACAGACCAGATTCCAAACTACGTCATCTTGCATCTGCTCTTGTACCAGTGCACATCTACGTGGTTGGTTTCTACAAGCTTACTGTTGAGCTGTGGTACAAACGTGACTGCTTCGTCTGAGCAGATCTTCAGAATCTGAGGAGATCGAAGGGGACCGTGCCGAGCAATGGCAGACGGACTCGATTCCAGTCGTGGATGGGCGATTGAACTTCGTCCTTATGAAGCGCAGCTCCGTCAACCTCGTTTTAATGTGCTCACCCAACCGTCCTCACCAATGACCGTCTAAGCATGACGTCCTTGTTTGACACTTGGTGGTCGAAGCTCAGGGGGCGCAGAATGCTCGAGCGAAATATGAGGATGCAGAATATTCATGGTCTCACTGTTGGTGATGCCCCTTGAAGATGATGACAGCAGTGAGTTGGACAGAGCATCGACATCAATTTCGCATTCCAACAACGAGCTGAATTTAGTCCTCCCGAGTCCTGATCCATCAATCGAGACCTCGTCCCTCGTCCATCGTCCATCATCCATCCGCATTTCAGAGCAGTCCACGACTCAGCCCGCGGTTTGGATTGTGGTCCCGTGAAGATCGCAGGTCTGCTTGAATCATGCATCAGCACTCAGCCGCAGTCCTCCACGAACAATGGCACTTCCCCTGCCCACACCCAACTCCTTGACGACATGCCTCGTACGATGTGTGCGCGTCTCATCGTCACGAATCAGAGGCCTCGAACCCTCGGACTGCAATGTGTTTCACACCCTCTCTACATGTGCAAACGAGCTCCACTCTCATGGTCCGATCCTGTTTTAGTTTGACATCGTGTGTACCCACATGTCGATGAAATCTTCTCGTCCTCGACCACACAACATCTTGCACAAGTCCTGTACTGGAGAAGTTTCATCTCTCTCGCTAAGAAACAGATGATGCCCCCAAGATCTTTTCACCATCCCTTGCACTATAGACATTTATGTTCTCCTGTGGTTCTTCGCATCCAGAGTCCAGAATTGACCATCAGGTAGGCGAAGTCGAGATCGACTGTTTACCTTCATGATGTCCCGTGACTTTGGTGGCATCAGAGGTAGGCAGGCATTCATGTGGCTATGATGATGACGTAGTCTTTCCAACACTCACAGTCTCGATGTCAAATACTGTTGTCATCGAGAGCAGGTGGCTTGTACACGAAGGAAGGTAAGCAGAGAGACAGCCCCTGAAGAGTGAGACGGCATCTTTGTGCTCGGCTGCTGCAACTACGGAGTAAAAGTCGTACCAGCTCTTAAGGACATGGCAACTTATTATGTGTTTCGATGTTATAGACATTTGGTGGTGCACATCAAGCGAAATGGTTCCACCATTACAAAGAATTTGTAGCATACTAGCTCATGCATTCACTATGGTAAGGGAGCAGGTTTCATCTGCATTGCAACATCAATCGATTTATTCCTCCGAGGCCACGGCAGAAAGAGATCAGAGATATGTGATGGATTCTACACCCAGTGCTGCTAGTGGACAATTCAGACTTCGTCTTTGCCTGTGATTACCTTGGTTAGCCTTACACTCAACCCTAACCTATTTCACCTCGTCATGACCTTCCCATCTTGGTCTTTGTGGCCTCGGGGTTTCATGATTTTCCATGCACCAGTCACGACCCGTGGTGCACCCGACGAGGTTCAGATACATACGTAAGAAGAGCTCTCAAGTGGCAAGATCGTTGGTCAGTTGATGGACGCCACGCAGTTGATCACCAACTGCGTGGCGTCCATCTATCTAACTAGATGGGCACATGAAAGAACAGATATTACAATTAGAGTCCATTGCGAACTAACGCAGTTGACATTCGGACTGTGTTCGGGGCGGCAACTTCGTTGTGCATAGGGCTCGCTGGATAGAAATGAAATTAGTGCTCATGGGATTACAGTATTTGAAATAAAGCATTAGATAATCCAAATACGGTGGGGTGTGGCTAGTTGCATTCACCTGAGAACAGATTGTACATTAACACGTTTGACATTATGACTATGAATCAAACGCCATTCCTAACATTGTGAAACCCTGTGTTGGGATGTGAACATTTGGTACCAAAACTGCGGTGTTCGTGGAAACTGCTCTGGACAGGATGCGAACAAGATTCAGATTTGAAGGATGCATTGCTAGCCCCTTAGCTCCCTGGGTACCGCCATACACACTGAAGTACATCGTGTTGAGATATGGATGAATAACGTGAAGCATGTAACACCAGTCCCGAGAATTTGCGATATAATCCCACCCTGTGTTTTATATGCTTAAACCTCGTAACCTGGCTGGTTTAGGTGGTTTATTTCCTGCGTTTGGTTCTCTCGGAAACTGAGTGTACGTAAAAGTTCCGTTCTCCAGTTGGACACCAAATTTCCCAAAAATAGCTGTAATATGCTTTGCGCCAAGGTTTGAAAAAGTTTGTGATCATATATTTTGTACCGCAGTCGTCCTCGCTCCACCTTTCACACTCTTCTAATAAAGCATCACAAAGTGTGGCGCTTATTTGAGCGAGCCCAACAGAGAAGAGATATCCACAACCTCCTTGCTGCTAGCAAGTAAGTTTCCTGTTCACGTAAACATGAAATCGAGCACTACTTCGTTTCTTCAGAAATTCGTTGAAATTTATGGATTGAAAGCTTCGGTGCCGATTTAGAACAGATGAACTGAATCGACAGAGGTAACTTTACTGCTCACTTGCACTTGTAGTTGACACAAGCTAATTCTCTGACTTCTACTTTGTTTGCGAAATCAACGAATAACCTTTCCTATATGGTCTCGTCCTAACTCGGCATTACAAAACACGTTACCTGCCAATCATTTTGATGAGGAAGGCATAATCGTACGCTGTTTCTTTCAGATGGCTGAAGCGACCACAATCGGAAACATGGCCAGAATCCATACTAGTCTTCAACAGAATCAATTTCGCAGGGTCTTGCTCTGCAAGATTCCTAACTCTTGCAACATATTTTGCGGCCTCCCAATATCCTACCCTGTATGGCGGAAGAGTCTTGTGTGTTAGTAAGGACGCATGAATTTATATAATCTAGACAGTTTTCTCTCTTTTAAAACCATGGGTCACGACTCTGAGTTTTTGCCCACTTATGATACTAATGGTGCTGTTTCAAGTCATCCGTAATGTTCTCGGTTGTGTCTAAGATTAGTTCCTGTCGCCTTTGAAATCTTACCATCAGCAAACCCCTGACCGTAACCTCAAGAATCTGAACGACAGCGTAACTGCGACACTGAATTCGCAACCGACTAGTAGAATACTCTATATGCTATCAAATCAGCTAAAATTTGCGCGTATACTTGAGCTGTCACTGTTTAGCCTACGGACACGACCTAGGGGTGTGTGACTGTCAATCTTCAGCGCTCGGCCTTCATCAGAATTCAACTCATTCTTCAGCCCTTAAACTCACTTGAACTTTCGATCTGTCATTCTCCACTTACATGCCACCTCGTACTTACATTCGCCACGTACATGCCTAAAGGATTAGCCGTCTGAGGGCTGAAAGGTGGCAGTCCATGATCTTAGGAGAAATCCACGATTGGGAAAGACAGGTTCAGATGAGAGTGTTTGCTTATCAGCGCTTTAATGATGGCACATATAGTTTTAAAGTCCACAGACATCCAAAAGACGACCGTAGACGAATGCGAGAAACTATACCTTGAATCAAGAAGGCCCGTTTTAACAAGCATCGCTGGGTAAGCCTTCCCTTCTTGCACGTTGTCGTAAGGAGAATAGCTTCCTATGTTGGTAAAATGTTCGGGGTCGTCTGGGTCTCCCCACTCGTCATACTCATGCACTGACAAAGGGAGGTCTGTATCGAGGAGTGTGTTGTTGATGTCCAGGAATGGGACCTGCAATGGACAATATCCATGCCTCGTCATGACCATATCCTAACTACTGTTCTCATTACTCTTCTCAGTTTACTAATGAAAAAGGAAGGATACCGACCTGGAGAATCACCGCTCGAAATAGACCGGGCTGTAGATTCACAGCACTTGCTACCAATAAACCGCCCGCACTTAAGCCCAAAGCGCCCAGTTTACTTCTATGAGCATATTTGTTTTCAATCAAATACTTCGCAGAAGCAATGAAGTCGTGAAATGAATTCTTCTTCTTCAGTAAAATACCTGCTTCGTACCAGGATCTTCCCAGTTCTCCACCTCCTCTATGAAACATAGTGCGTTACATTAATACAGTCTGAGATAATGGAAAGGTGATTTTCTCCAGGAGAAACAAACGCGTCCAGTAACAGCGTATGAGACTACCTGGCTAGAATATTGAAAGCAATGTTCAGTGTACGGGATGCCCAAAGACCACTCATTTGCTGGCTTCAGAGGAAAAAGCCTACCTAACATGAGAAAATGCAATGACCCAACCGCGGTCAAGGAGGCTGAGGTGTTCACTGCACCATTCCACCTCCAGTGTCTTGCCATACGCACCATAGCCTATCAAAAGGGCTGGATTTTGTCCGTCCTGTCTGACTCCGCTTCCACAAACTACCGTCAAAGGTACTGCTACTCCGTCGGCGGTGATCACTTCATGTCGCTGGCATTCGTACTGAGAAAGTAGACAAAGGTGAAAATCGTCCGTCGCCTCAGAGTCTGCTTTGCCAGATACCACTTTTGGTTTACGATCCACCTGGGCCTGCGAGTCCAGCTCTGATACATTTGTATGCCCTTCATCCGAAAGTCTTCTCGTCCCTTTTCGTTTCTTTACTGGTAGCTGGACGCCTTGTACCTCCTCCTGCTGTAGGACTTTGGGTTTTCCTGTTTCCAGGTGATACTCTAGAACGGTCTCTGGTAACTGGATGCACACAAGAACACGTTAAGTCAAAACCACCAAATATGATACAGAATCTGAAGATTTCAAAAATTTACAAGGATACTGAAAGTTTCAGTCGCTTTGTCCTGCGTTTCGACGTGATCCAGGCATAAATACATCTACCGGGACAAAAGCTCGACATGTAATTATCTTAACAATCATGTATCCATCTGTACCGTCCGAAATCAGAACAAAAGAGATCGCAAAGAGAGGTAAACACGACTTACGAGTATGCATGTATTACAGGACACGATCTAAGGAGAAGAAATCCAAAGCGAAGTGTAGACACAAACTTGCAGCTGAAAGACTGTGGCATCAACGTGTAGAGAATGATGAAGAATGTTCCCGAAGAACATACATTTGGTGATGATACGGTTAAACGAAAAACTGAAGAGTTGAAGTCCTCGTTTGCTCCTGGAGTCACAGTACAAACTTCTTGAGGAAGCGATAGCGTCCTCCTGGACTGAAACGTAGCCTTATGTTAGCAACAGCTTGCTGAGCAGCATCAAAAGCTGGGACCGGCACACAACATCACCGAGATGCATATAACTCGGAACACTAACAACACTGACAATTCACATAATATATCCAAAGGTTTAAAGTAACAAAACTAACAATGTATATTGAAAAATATATCCAAAAGTTACCTCGAAGCCGCTAGACGGCAAGTCCAAAACCTGGATACGAGGGAGTCCACCTCTCCGCTGGTACAGCACAAGGTGCTTTTCAAATATTTCCATATCTTCAATGAACGCTCCACGCTCCAAGCTGGCAATTTCCTGTTCATCTCAATCGTGAACAAAGTCAAGGCCAAAGGGAACACGGTCCAGTTCGTCAACAGGACCCTGTCATATGATTTTGCTGGAGCTTTACCTGCCAGTACTTAGAACCCGGGTTTCCAAGGGAACATCGGACCAGGCGGTAATCGCCCACAGCGGTTCGAGTATTTCCACCATCCATTCGTCTATTTGTTAAAATATAAAGAAACCCTTGGTGATGCTCCACGAAGTATTGTATACCTCCTCGGCGCTCCTCAACGAGTTGCAAATCTGCTTCTGGATTATCTGCATCGATCAGATACACCTGGACACAAAAAAGTTTCTGAAGTTATGCGGCATAAAATGAACCCTGCGTTCCTTATTCAATGGACATTGTCGGTTCTGTTGAGACGATTATACATTTTTAGCATACTACTCGCAATGGCTGGACAGACAGCCATTGTCACTCGTGTATTCCGCCTTTCCTGATTTTGAAAAATAAACTTGTTTGAAAGTACTTGCACTCCTTTCAGCAAATCCACGGTTAATAGCTGAGACCATGTACATAGACCATATTATATCCAGGAGGAAGCAATCTCGTGGGCTACCTCTGACGAAGTTTTTGAATTGACATTCACTGTGATGAACGTCCAGTCTTTGGTTCTCGAAACATCCAGGAAACTACTCGCATCCTTCTCTTCAAAAACAAGGATATCTTCTGCTTCAGATCCCAAGGATCGTCGATAAACTCTGCCAGACATCGCACCGAATCCACCATGAGGTACTTAAGAAATGTACTAACTCCTTGGAGAAGCACACTTACAAACCCAAACAATAGCCACAGACAGAGTTCATCTATTACATTGTTACCTCCACGGCCTCAATAATTCATCTACTTCGGTGTAATATAACGTACGCCCGTCCCCAGCCCATTCAACACTCACAACACCAGCCTTTTGTTCTTCCTTCATGATGCGACCGGTTCGGAGGTCCTTGACGAAGAGACTGAAAACTTCACGGCCAGACGTGTCCAGAGTATAAGCCATCACATTGTGATCTTTAGAGAGCCTGCAGGTCCCAAGTTGGACATATCCTGTAACAATAGCATGTAAAAGCCTGGTCAGGCCACGGACGTCATGAACGAACAGAGTTTTAAAAATGGTACAGAGGTACACACAATATCAGCGGTCTATCGACACTGAAAACTCAGAAAACCACTTCCATTATAAATATGCACTATGGAGTCTAGTCACGAAGAGGGACACCATGTAATGAACAAGCACAACTATTACAGATAAGAGTTCCGTGCCAAACTCTTCGACAAGTGCATTTTGATCGAGCAGCACTTCCTCCTCGTCTTGATAGTCCCAGCCCAAGACCGAGGCCGCCACCTTTTTCAACTTTGATTGTGTAGTGCTGATTCTTACTGAATGTCTTATCCGGCAGTACACAGGATAATCCTGTCCTTTCGGTATTCGTGTGTAATAAAGCCTGAAACAAAAAACGAAAGGGGAAAAAGAGAAAAATATCCTCAGTCATCAAGGTTCACATTCTTTCAGTTTGAATATATAATGGTAGATTACAATCCACTCCGTGATCTCAGCTTAGACCAATGATAAAAGCTATTCGTCAAACAAGCAGCATCTGCAGTACTACTGACCATGTCAACAATGTAATTAACAGCTAAGAATAGACGCAGACATGCTTAAGCATTTACTCATGACTTGTAAACGTACGATTGTTCCTCTCGCTTCACGTACTGCACTTCTGAAATTTTCGCTTTGTATCCAAAGGACAGAGATATTCTCATGCGCATTTTCTTTCAGAAAATGATGGTATTGCTCTTGGAATCAAGTGATAATGAAGACTGAGTAAACTAGTTGAAGTATTAACAGTCTTATGCTGAAGTTCACTGGAGAATAGAGGTAAGACTTGCGACGAGGCGAGCTTTTGAACCTTGGACCTGCTAGTACAGTAGATGGACATAAGAACAGTCTTTGCTAACTGTGAAGTCGTCCAGTCCACTGATACACGCTTCTCTGAACATTGTTTAACATCAGTGGACTAGACGACTTCACAGTTAGCGAAGACACCGTCTATTCCACCTCGCGTTTGTTTCTTTCCTCTGTGACTTTGTCTTCTTTACCTCGCTCTGCTCGTGGTGTCAATATTGTATACGGAAGTTCCTGGTCTTGTACCACAGCCCAGCCCAAAGCAGCCGTATATTACAGTTATATTTACTAGAACGTTTATAGTAATAAGATGCATGAGCTGAGGGCTTCTTGGTTGATGTTCAATTTGACAGATCCCACTAGAATAGCAACCTCTTCCCTCTATAGCAGTCTTTTAGCTTCTTCCAACATTCCACGTTCTGATCTTCTGGGCTACAAAAGATCAGAATGTAGCTCAGTCTCTTCATGCTAGCACCCTTCAGTGAGGGGTTCATGGTCTTCAGCCTGTTAAAGGTACGTACTTATAAAATATGCACCTTCATACTCTTCGTTCGTGACCATCTCTTACTTCCTCTTCTTCCAGTCTATTGCCATGCTTAGCTAGAGCGTATTATCTTTCTGATGGTAGGCCAATGAGCACAATTGATAGATATTTTTCGAAGGCATTCAGTGTTGCATACATCTTCGACATAAGCAGCTTGAAACTTTCCACCGAAGACTGAACACTGCTCCACCGAGGATCATATTCATTATGTTCATGCGAGCCTATCAACATTTGGATAAAAGCTCACAAAAAGAAGCTCAAGCTTCTATATCGACGAGCACACCGACAAAGCACGAGCATCGAAACAGCTGACGGGAAAGCCCGATAAAAAAAATTATAAATACGACAATCTTAATGGTCGATACTTGGTTCTTCTCAGCTCCTAGACACATTCACAGACAACTGGGCTGACTTAAATCAAGCAAAAAACGGGCTCGCTAGTAAATGAGTGGAATCAATATACTGACTGAGGAGGGGAAATTGCGCACACCAGGGACCAATGCGCTCGGGAGGAGACGAAACTTCCTGCTTCAAGCGACCAGCCATCTCTTTCTGTAGTTTGCGTTGCAAATTCAGAGAATCGGCCATGCACTTATCGGCGTAAGCATTCTCCAGCTGCAAATAGCCCACCGCCTCGTCTTTGCAAACGCGCATCCAATGGTAAGGATCATACCAAGTTCTCCCATGCTTGGTCCTCCGGAAAGGGCGGCTGACAGCAACAGGGGGCTCAATCAGGTGACCGTCTCGACACTTCCCCTGCTCCTTGCTGGGCGATGCACTGATATGCACCAAGCGATCGAGAATGACTTGACAGCCCAGAAATTGGGACAAATTCTCCGAAAACCTCGACGTCCCTCGCACACCTTTCCTCCAGAGCAGCGACATCACCACCCGCCTCTCGGCCATCATCATCACGGCCTATGCCAAACATCGACAAATTCACTCATGCGGCCCCGATTCTTCCCCTGCCTGGCTTTCACGATCGCAAGCCTGTCAGCTCTCGCCGCATGAAACTCAAATCCTCGAGCTGCAGCTCGTGCTTCTTGTATCCGGCATGCCTCCGAGAATGTCCGTCCTCCCCGAGCCTGACACCGACAGAATCTTCGTTTTGCGTTTCCGTAAACTCTTAAACCTTCGAAATAGTGTCACCTTGCGGCACCGCAGACCTCAAAATACGCACGTTTAATAACCGGTATGATGAGAGTTTGCGTCACATATTGTGATGATCCGTTGAAATGTGATCGTATAATCTCGTCCCTTGATTAATCACAACTATCTGACCTTAATACTCCTCGAAAACACCTGAATGCCTCTGTTATCACAGAGAGCAAAATTCAGGTCTTTTTCTAAGGTGAAACTTATTATTGAAGTCGTGATATTTACAAAGTTGAGTTTTTTTCCTTGTAAACTTACATGCGCACAAGGTGAATTAGAAGACACGTCTCGAAATTAAATTTCACATCATAATTATTACCCTATAAAGTCATGCAATTTCGGTGATAATTGGTATACGCCGTATACCAATAACCAGTGTACTATACGGGTGAGTATTTGGAGCTCGCCTGCCGCAAGGATCTAAAAAGATTTAGTTCCTCGTTGATCTTTGTCCACATGCCCTGCGTTACGGGTTGAAGAAGCGTTCTGGACATTAAATATAATTTTGAGCTCGTGTACTTCACGTAAACATTTCAACTCCATGGAACAGGAATGTCACATCTATTTTCTACCGTACCGGGCACATGCATCATCACACCAAAGTATGTAATTTCATATGCGAATATTCTCAAAACAACATGAAATCTGACTGCAATAATCTCATTCACACTTCACCTTGCGAACAATCAGATCCAGTAATGGACTAAGTGTAAAGTCAGACATATTCCTCTTGGAAATGAGGAAAGAAGTTCATGAAGACTAAGCGTAGAGGCGCATCTCCAAGTCTCAACACTTATGCTTCTGAAGTGCTTCGAGAATTTTAGTTAGAATTTATGGAGTTCCATTATGAAGACAAAGTGAGACACCGAGATTCTGAATGGAGGAACACTTTCCGTGTAGGTGAAATGGGCAGGCATATTATGCAGGAATTTAGATGGGCCAAGTGTGTGTAGAAGTATGGTGTGATGTCTATCGTTTCTGATGTACTCACATAACGAAACTATTAGTCTTTCTCAGAAGTCGGTTGGTGTAGCTGATTGACAGCGTCATTACAGTGGCCAGAAATCATCTTCAAATATACAGCAGACCATCAACGAGGACAAACGGTTTGGCCAAGTAATGGTGCGAAACTCATCAGGCTTAACTGAGAACGACAATACTGATGCCCTTGGGGTGATCAAAAGTGGATCATATTCATGGACTTCAACCGGGATTTTGCTGTGTATGCAAAATGCTTCTGGAGGTGAAGGAAGGACTGTTTCACCATGCTCTATTGAAAATATGAGTCTGATCGTTTAGCTTGCTGAACATTTTCTAGAAACACGCACCTGACAGATCTAAGACATTCGGGCTGTGGTGGATTCATATAACTCTCTGGTCTGGAACTGAGAACACATACGTCGACAATGCACAAGGAGCAGTTGCAAGAACGATGATTTTTGAGCTGATGAAATGGAAGAAACTCGAATCTTGTGACAGAATACTATGCACAGTCAAGGAATCTGATAGTGCTTGACAAATGTACGAAAGTGTATGACGCTTGTGGAATGAGAAACAACCCGAGCTTGGAATTGAATACAATTCTCATTGACAGAAGTAATCTAAAGCTTTTGTTCCATGATAACTGCTGTGAAATCTAGAATCTGAAGGCAATGGTACTGACTTTGAAAATTTTGTGTTCGGGCCGCATACCCTGATGCTGGATCTAGTTGGATAATTCTCACAATAAAGCAGAAATTTGTCTAGATTACATGTGTCGTTGTTTCGAAGAAGTCTTTGGGATTCTGGCGTCTGCCTTATTCCGAGAAGTGTCGTTATCAGGTGTTCGACAATGAAATCAGCCTCAGGTTTGAAATAACATCAATTCCTTTATTATGAGCATCAACGAGAGAGTTTGGCTCATTTTCAACTGATACTGAAAAGTACTCATACTTCAAGTTTATAACATTTCTTCACAAGAAAATCTTCAAATGAAAATCAAGGATCAACATCAACATCACCAATTTTTATCTCGATCTGCATAGTATATTTTTCTCACATATGTCGCATGGTACGCATGCTGCACAGTTGCGTAGGGATACAATTCTGGATCTCATGTCTGCGTCGCGAATGGCCACCATTAACAGTGACGGTCTTCTTGATGTCATGAATTGAATAAGAAACAAACTAAGGAGGAGGAGTAGACAATGGCCCGTGACAGATATCAGCCAACGACGTGACAATTCAAAGCGGCTCCCAGAAGAGATAAAGTAAGTCCATCTCGGTCACGGGTAGTCTTGGGAACTTGATGACTACTTTGACACTGATATCACTCGTGATTGGAATGGAGGACGGAAGGAACGGGTGGTCTTTGCACCGCAGCGTACAAACCCCCTCAATGTCTCCTTCGTTTCGGTCCGAGCTCGGCCCCTACTCAAGCGACGAATCCTCAAGGGCAAGTCTTGCAACACACAAAGTCCAGTAGAAATTCGAGCTTCTCGTAACAGAGGAAGCAGCAACAGGTTGCGAAGCAGCTGCAGGTACACAAGGAAAGAAGAATACTGCAGTAAGTACACGCAAGGTGCAGAAAGGCATAGTTGGACACAACCTGGTGAATTGAGACTTCAGTGTGAGACTTTTCGACTGAGATGCCACCATCACAGTCAACATCATGTTCGCTTACCATGCAAATATCGGACCCTTCTCTTCTTTTCGCCTTTTGATGAGCTCCTTCACGGTCATTTCTTGAGGAGGCGGTGCATCCATATCGACTCTGCAGAATGAGTGCCATCGCAGATCCCAGTCAGGAAGAAAATCCTAGCGAAAATTCTACAGTTATATGCTGCAATCGAATATGGGAGCTCTAGGCTCGTAAATGTTCATCGTATGTACTCAGCTGGACAATGAGAAGGTGATTGCAACTGTCGTGACTCACTGCGAAACTGGTACGGGCTCCGTTGTGAGTGTGGAGGAAACGCGAAGCCTTGCAATTGGAGAGCGGAGGGTATCGCTGTGATTGCACTTGGACTATGAATGAGAAGTCGAATCTTGTGAAGAGTCGTTGAAGATTCCGATCGAAATCACTTCATCTGCAAGAACGCCCGTCATCATTGACAGTAGAAACGCAAGCTTGATGATGCATCCACAGAATAGACAAATTGCACTCCGACTCTCAGGAGACAGGAGTGCTGGATTTCAGTATATTCCATGCAAAACCTCGTTTCTATTTCGGCTGTATCTCGAGGTTATGTTCAAGGTTTGACAGTCATGCTACTATGTCGAATTGAAGAATACAGCCGAAAGAAGACGAGATCGTTAAAATCAGCCCAAATCTACGTGCTTGTTGACACAGCTGCTTTATCGAAAGCCTGGTTGGTTGTGCTTACCTGGGCCAAGAAGAAACAGCTACACAACGAGGAGATTTGAGGTAAAGCTGAAATCCGGGACCTGCATGCTTCCCGTATATTCTGAATTGAATCGATATATACAGATTCAAAGATCTCGCTCAGTGCACATCCAAAAGCTCAAGGCTATATATTCGTCGTCTATCGTTCACAGCATCCCGCCAGCTCTTCTTATATTGCTCGTCACACTTCCCGAGAGTCAGGCTAAAGCTTGACCGAACCGCACGTTGAATTACTCAAAATAGTGGGATAAATTCTTCCAACACATATCTCAGCAATGATTGAGGAAATCATTGGTGGACGAAGCTGGCTGCAGGTGTCGAAATTCGAACATTTCCCCAGGTTATAGGCTGAAGACTACATGCGGTAGGTGGGAAGGGTAGGCTGCACAATCGGTACCTTCCCAGACGGAGTTAGTGTTCTGACAACCTGATGGCTTGCATTGATCATGAGTCCATACATGTGATGGGAATCATGAGAAATGTCGTAGATTTCTAGTCAGACTTGTTGGTCAAATTGATCAGTCTGTATTGTGTTGAGCTCCAGTACCTGCAGACATTTGACCACGAACATGATTCTGCAAGCCGTGGCGATGTCTTCAATTCAGAGACAGAATCCTGATCTACTCTTCATGGTCAACAAAAGCTGAGAATATGGACCCGAATCTCTCGTCAAAGCACTTGAATTCACCTTGGCGTAGTGGGTTGTTTGACAGACGACTATTGAACTTCACGTTTACCGACTTACAAAAATCGAAACCCATAAGATCCCGTTGAAGAATCTGTGGCAAATGTCTTCACCACGGATTCTTCAAAGATGGGACAAGTTCAAGTGTTGCGGAGCCCCGAAGTAAGCCAAGGGGCCACTAGGCAAACAGGAACTGAGAGCTAGATTGCACTGACGTTACGGTGCTGATATTATCATATAGTGCAAATTTCCAAAGAAGCAATTAATGACACGTTCATTCGTTGCAAAAATAAATATCTTGGTGTGGCGCAACCTCATTACGATTTCTAACGTAATTGTCGGTTAGATTGGAGGTATAAGAGATTAAGAATATTTTCCAGGTGTAGGTTCTCAAGAAACATGTAAAATAAAATCCTATGCATTTAATGAGGTCACCCATCATACAAAGCAGGTGATTGATGAGAAGAAGAGAGTTCTGTGGGATTATGCGTACATTATGATTCAAGAGGAAGGATTAAGCTGCCCGTCATAAAAGCTTTATACTCGATGTAGTAGTATACGTGGATACACTAGTATGCATACAATCAAACGCTGGACCAAGTCTTGGACTTCTTTGTCACCAAGGATCGGGAGAGGAAGTCATCACTCCTGTCACTGGTACTTATTCTGTCATGATCCGATGTTTTAGTGGCAATCAAATTGGTATCTCTTGGTAGCTCCCATCACGTGTGATTTCTTCGGTGTAACTAACAGAAGAATCCTCAGAAGAATCATTAAAAAAGTTCGACCAAAGAGAGAGTGCATTGCAGATTCCTCTGCAGAATTTAGTGTCAAGCGTGGACGCCAGTTCATATTTGCAAGCAATTAAAATTTCGCTTGACCTTGGTTATGACATGTACCCATTCTTGCATATCCTGTATATTATTGCGTTTGGAAGTTTCAACCATGTACTAACTAATCTGATTTTAGTTCTATGACAACTTGTTTGAAGCGTTTCTGGTGCAACGAGTTTGATTTGTTGAAGTTGTCTAACTCTACCTGATCGAGTGAAGTCGACACACAGAAGAAAAGTCTTCGTGCATGTGCTAAGCAGTTTGATTGGACTCGTATCCAACCACAGCGGCGACTTTGAAGCCTTGTTACTGGTGCATGCGTTACACCTACAGTACATTACAGGAGTATAAAGATTGCATTGCAGCCAATTACAGTCACTCCGTTCGTCCCAATACTGCAATCGTCGGAAGCAAGCCGGAATGCGAGACTCGGCACACACGAGGACCTGACCCCAATCGTGGCCAGCCTTTGGGCTGGCCAGTCGAACAAAAAACCTGTCCAATTTGGTATCGAGCATCCTGTGATCGCTTCTTTCGGATCTAGAATTCAGTATCTCCTGCAGTATTCTTCGGATGTTACCAAATGGTTTTCGTCCTTTCAGGCTGGACTTTGTTCAGCCGACAACTTCCTCTCCAATGTCATTCATGGCCTGGCACTTTCCAAGATATTCAACTTGAAGTAGGAAATCAAGTCCAAACTGTGTCTGAGACAGTCAAATTCTTTGACTCTTGAACCTTAAAATCTTCGAAAATCCGAAGATCCCGACCGCACAAAATTCCAAAAGTCGTCGACCTCAGTGGACAATTATCAGCGTTTTGTGCTTGAAGTTGAACCATGTCGTCAATTGTGTATTTGACAATCTGGGTCAATGAATGGAAGTCGGAGTTCCACCGGTGTGGGATGGTTCTGAGGCTTCTGATTCCATTATATCGGGACCACAATATATCAGCTGTCTCTCATGAAGGGAATTTCATAAAGCCCTGAATTTGGAAAGACGGATCAGCTGGGAACGAAGCAGCAGCTTCCGACCTTGAAGTACTTCAAAGCTGTTCTTTCGGGGAGTTTGAGCTTGAGCCGATTCTCAGAAATTTCGGAACGAGGGTCTCGAAGTTTCTGACAATTGGTAATTTCGAATTCTGTCCGAGTATATTCTCTGTGTTGTAGGAGCGAAAACCACCCGATTCCTGTTCTATTTTCATGCTTTTTCAAGCTAACTTCGTCCACATTCATTTCAATGACTCCAATCATCATTTTATATTTGAGATATCAAGCATGGGATTCGATAGCACAGCAAGAAATATTATTTCCAGCGATACATGTTAGTGTTGTTAGAATAACAAGAATGAATACACAGGGTGGCGAGGCGCTTAAGTAAGGGCCTTGCATGAATACATCAATGGTCCCGATTACCACCTAGAAAACTGCGACAAAGACAAACATGTCCACTGATCTAATGTTGGCTAGCCCTATTTCTCTCGTACTCATAAGGTCTTCCAACACCCCCTCTCGAGGCAATGCTTCTATAACTGACGACATTGGAAACTAGTGCCGGTCTTATAGACCTTGCGTAGATCGAAACCCCATAGCTGTTCAAACTTGGGGCGAGGCAGCGGTTTACTGAGTAACTCTGGCAGGGTAATTGTCTGTGTGAATATAATCAAGTGCTATCTCCCTCTCTAAAACATGTTATCTAATAAAGTGATGTTTTGCGTCAATGTGCTTGGTTTTAACATGAAAAACTCGAGTTTGAGCAAGTTTGACTACACCGTGATTATTGCAGGATAGATGGATGTGAGTCTCGGTGGGAGTAGCAGCGGTCTTGAGGTCTTGATGAACTTGGCTCTCAGCACAGCAGATTGGAACTTGAGCAGGTTGTAGAACGTTGAGCTCCTGAAGCAAACGTCGAATGTAGACAACATCCTTGGCACCCTCGGAAAGAGCCTTATATTCTGCTTCGGTGTTACTATCAGACACATTGGACGGTTGCTTGCTTGCCCAGGCAGCTGTTCAGAACGGAGTTGAAATAGGTAGGCACCAATTGACGGCGGAGTGTTTTTGCAACTAGGATAATTTGCATTTGTGAAACCTCGGAGCTCTGAAGGAGTGACACGTTGGTACAAAATGCCATAGTCCTTTGTAAAATTAAAATATTTAAGAATGTGAATCAGAGCTAGGGAATGCATGAATCGACTAACCATACTAACAGCATATGAAACAGCGGGTCGAATATGACATAAGTAGATAAGTTTACCAACCAGGTGACAATACTGAGATGCATCAATGGAGGGCGCCGAGTTGTCAACCTCGAGAACAGTACCCACTAATGGAGGGCGCCGAGTTGTCAACCTCGAGAACAGTACCCACTGATAGTGGAATTATTCACATGAATTGTTGCTTATCGCAAGATCATATACGATCTATATTTTTATAGTCCGTGAAGGTAAATATTTCACATGGGTAGAAAGATGATTTCTCCTAGAATTGATTAGAGTTACATGAGATATATTCTTGGATTAAGAAGACAAGTCTGTTATTACGAGCGTTGTGATAACTGGTCCCACAAGTGACTCATTATCACAATAAATGATTATACATCTTCATATAGCATCTTCACAGGCGGTGTCACCCATTCCGTCTTTTGATACTTTTCTGATCTCGTGCTTTCAAAGTTGCATAAAGCTCGACACGCTCTTCCGAGACCATTGCAGTGGCCATTCTCATCTTCTCTGTATCTTTCCAATTTTATCAAGTTGATAACTCGATGTCTCCACGAACTCTTGACTGTTATCTTTGAATGACCGACCTCAGGGTTGGTACGTCTGTATCCGGGACAGAGATCGTGAGTGCCTGCGAGCATAATCACTAACATACACATCAATCACTTCACATAACACATTCCAACTTCTGCTGACCATTCACAAATTATACACAAGTCGGAGCGACACTCGAAATTACAAAGCAAAACACAGGCGAGAATATATCGAAAGAGTGCGAGCTCTTCCTTGTGATGTTTTCCATTAATTATGGACAATTTCATCAATAAAAAAGAGAAGTTTCGACGATATGTTTTCCCTAGTGGTTTTAGAATCAAATAAGAGCTGCAAAATTACGCACTTATCAGTCCTTGTAATTTAGTGGCAAATTGTTCCGTTCCTCGCGTGGGTGACCCGGGTTTGACCCCTGTCAGAGGCGTTTTGGCCTCGAAGGCAACGGAATTTGTCTCATTAGCGACTGCAGACAGTACTACGTTGCTCAACGACAACGCGGTTTAGCTGCGGCCCAAGCCGAACTGAAGTACACTGACGAACATAATCCTTGTCCATGGTTGGGGACACCTGTCAACATCTGAACGGAAATGCGGAAACCCTACTATTCCGATGCAGCGGGCGGCGGCTTTGAGGAAGGGTCGAAGCGAAAGTTGCCTGCTGTTGGGGATGCTCGGTTCGAGTTCTTTTGATGCTGCTTACCGTTCGCGAATATTCGAATCTCGTGGGCTTTCACCCAGGTCTGCTCTTTCTCTCCTTCTTAGAGTAAATTCTTATTTGTTTCTTACAGAGGTACTTTTTCTAAATTTCGTATGATTGAGATATTGCAGACAAAATTTCTAAATTTCGTATGATTTTTGTGCTTCAGTGCGAGGTTTAGAAGTGGAAGATGTAATATACTGAATTGACCCTCAATCAACAAGAAGCCAAATGTGAGTAATTTTTTCTGCTATCTAATTAATTAGAAATCTAGCCATGCCTGAGAGGTAGCGATTTAGAATCAGAAAATTCTCCTAGTTTTATCAGTTTTGTTTGAAAATTCGCCTTACTTCCATTACTTGTATTGGTAAAAAAGCAATGTGCTCCATGATGGATCATGGACTCTATTACTTCTCTAAGTACATATCTACGAAGATACTTCCAAATCGAAAATGACGAAATATTTTCTTCCCTTCTAGGGATCTCTTTCCTTCTGATATAAAAAATGGCGATTTTCTTTCCGGTTCTAGGGTTATCTTTCATTCTCACATCGAAATTGGCGATAAATTTTCCGCTTCTAGGGATCTCTTTCCTTCTGATATAAAAAATGGCGATTTTCTTTCCGCTTCTAGGGTTATCTTCCATTCTCACATCGAAATTGGCGATAAATTTTCCGCTTTTAGGGCTCTCCTTCCTTCTCACATAAAAAATGTAGATTAATTTTTTTGTTCCAGGGCTCTCTTTCCTCTTCACGAGGATAAATGTAATTGTGTATTGTTTTCCCTACAGCCAAGTGTCAGGTTAAAATGCCGATGACGTGGAAGACTCTAAAAATTAATACGTTCTGAACGATTTCGTGGTCGTATTCAATTCGAATTTGATAAATGTAGTGCTTGCGAAGTCTGTGGGAGAACTCTGTCTGTTAGAGTCCCGGCCCGTCCTGAGGAACACTCAGACCTGGCAAAGCTAAAGACGCCATCCCCAGGATGTTCCATTTTGTCGACGAGCCCTTAAATCAGAGGCGGTGGCTTGGAGAAGGTCGCAATGCCCGCTGGCGACATAATGGTTCTGCCCCCAATCACAACCACGTAGCCCAACAAAAAAAAATAGCGGAAGTGAAGACCTGGAAGACTAAGAAAACTCGGTCTTCCAGAGTTAGGGCCACTGCTCAGCAGTACCCTGAACTCGAGAAGTTGAAGGTAAGATGTAATTTTGCACGGCGTTATTAAAATGTGCACAGCTAGCAAAGTGGTGTTCTTTTTTATGTGAACAGAAGATCTTGTTGTTCTAACACGCATTGGATTGTCACTGAGAACCATTCCAACCATCCATGGAGCTCCAGAAGTTTCGAGACAGTTGCACTTCCTGTGCTCTCCGGTGCACAATACTTACAACGCGCAGTTGTTTTCTGCCATGCCAAAATCTCAGAGAGTAGATAAGTAATTACATGTAGAGGGCAAACTGTCCATGATATTTGCACAAGGTTTGAACGCAACGCAACATGTCCTTGAAGTTCTGAGCGCACGAATTCAATTTTCATGGCATTAGCCTTCCTTTAAGCTCCGCTGTTTCTGTGAGATCTGCTCCGTGAAACATCGCTCCTGTATGTACATAAACATTTATCCGTGGCCCAAAGCAACTCATAAGTGAGTAAAAAATATATTCTTCGGAAGAGAATCAATCCTCAACTAGTGTCCATAAAGAGAAAATCATTGGTGAAATCATCTGATGGTTAGAAATGCTTGAGTTGAGCTTGTGAACGAAAAGAATGATCAATTGTAGCTGCAAGCCATAAAATGCTTCGGAACAAAATCCTGCAGAGTGGAAGTAGAAATCAAAATGCGCTCTGATCTAGAAAAGTTATATGTACGCACTAACCCGTGGAACCATCTAACACTCAAGCACTTGTCTCTTATTGCAAAAGTGTTCAGTGATACCTTTTTTCTTGATTAAGTGAATTTTATGGCAAGTATAAGTTGCTCAATGAAATCTCTCGTCTTCTTTCTGTTGTTACCTATGTAACTATTCAAGTGCCTTTTCGATCTATAGTGAAAATAATATATGACCCAGATCTGGAAGTGAATCCATCGCGAGTAAAAGGAGTAGGGTTCATCCATTAGTAATTTGTTCATAACATGAGAAATTCTAGACTTACTATCTGTTTCAAAGCTAGCTGAATCCAGTTTTGAAACCATTTCTCCACCCAACAGATAATTTTGTGTACAAAAGGTCAATTTTTATGAATCAAAAGCTTACTTTAGCAATTTGATTGTCATCTTCAGTAAACATATGGTTGTGAATATAGATTCCAGTGTCTCTCTTACAACCATCAAGCACTGATGTAGTATTGAGTTGATTGTAGAGTCGTTGCTGATTGTTGCTAATAAAAAAATTGGATGTGTAGGGAAATATTTTCCACGGAAACCAAGTTGCGAATGTGAAACAGGTTAGATACCTAAAAATGATTTCAGCTAAAGCACACCGGTCAAGATTTAACGCTGTTTGTGCATCAGTCGCCACTGGGTCCGGGATCAAGGGGAAAGACATGTATACTAAATGTTACATCCATTTTAACAAATCAAAATCGAAAAAATCAAAAAATTGATTTTTGTCTTTTTTGCAGTTGGAATATATGCTGGTGGAACTGCAGAATGATTGGATGCTGACGTGTCTTCGAATTGTGGTGCAGGTAAATGCTCAGAATTCGCAGCACTTGCCAACTATTTCCACGTATTCGCCTACTGTGCTGCTAATGATGAATGAAATATCTCTAATGATTGTTATGTGCTTGTTGCAGGAACCTGTACGTGTGAACCGTATCCCCACAGACGGGGATACTGATGCAAACATCATAATAACTCTAGAAGGGCAATACGGTCTGTGTGAAGTATTATCTACTGGACTGGATACAACCTTTAGTTTTGGTGCTAATATCCTGCATCTGATTCGGGAACGGTCGTGTTGCTGGAGGGTCCCAACCATGTGGTGTTGCCACTAGTCCGGAATTTACAGTCGTAGCGAAGCTCGCACTGGTTGAAGAGATAGAGCGGGAATACTGTGGCAGATTTGTAGTTCGAACAGATTACTTCAGAACTTCAAACTGCGCACTATTGAGAATTTAGAGGGAATAAGCAGCGCTCCTATTTCTGCTGTCAGTTGGGTTGAGTAATTCATGTGGATGTGGCTTTAGGCAGAGATAGAATCACACTGCGTATCTATTGTAGTATTAGGAGAACATGACTTTGTGACAAAAAGTACCAAACAAAGTCATAGTTATGCTCACTGGTTGAAAGCAAAGCATTCTTCGGTATGTTGATTTCTTTCTTGTGCAGAATTGGAAATGAACAAGCCATCATCGAGATTGCTGATGTAGAATCTTAGTGGTTTTCCCTACCGAGGATGCGCAGGACGTTAACGTATGTGTTCTTCGGACACTTGTCTTCATCTTCTGGCGTCGAGGTTAGCAACAGTGAGCTTCTAAAACAAAAAGAAGCTCCAGAAGTTTCAAGACAGTTGCACATCCTGTGCTCTTCGGTGCACATTATGTGAGATCTGCTCCGTGTAACATCGCTCCTGTATATACACAAACAATTGTTTCGGCTTTGGCAGTTAGAAAAAGAACTCATCTGGATATCTAACATTGCATGTGGGGGAATGATTTCTCGTGCAGTAGTTTTCTACCATACTCTTGCCACGGTCTGTGCCCATTCGTTGAGAACCAAACGGCTGGCTCTCATTTTGTGGGTGTAGTTGGTCCACCCACAGATCGGGATGTCGGAGTTGGAGCTCTGGGAGAATCCAGTTGGAACTCTCGGAGAATCCAGTTTCTCGACAAATGGCATTGAAGGTCATATAAAACTTTCCGAAGCTTTGGTTTTTTAGTTGTCTCTACGTGAATGGATCAGTGAATTAGCAGCATGCTCATCGCAATACCTTTGTCATATTGACTATAATGAGGTCCAGATAACAGAGGTTCTTTCATTACTGAGATGATATTCTTGAGGCATTGCAACGATTAAGAGCAGCGGAGACTGAATTCTTCCAGAGGATTTAGATCATCATGAAGTTTATCTGAAATATAGAAATGTGATTTGTCTCCACAAGCAGTTAGAAAGAGAAACCTGACGCGGTATTATTGTGGATCGTACCACGTTTGCTGCATGTGGATGATAACAAGAAACAGCTCCTCGTGTACATTCGAATATCGTATGTCCAACGGTGAAAGCAGAAGGCTTAAGCGTGTCTGAACCTCTAGTATCCACTTCGTGCTTCCCACGGGTTAATCAACTGTGGCTGACCATTACATGCAACCCTCGATCTGCGATATGATGCAACTCGTTACAAACTCATATGTAACCAGAAAAAACCTGTACGATTTGGCTCTCAGATGTTCAGAAAGTGGTTTGCATCAACTAAGTGAATGATGAGCTCACGCATGTACCAAAAAGAACTCACCAGAAACTGACACACTGTTCAGATTTCGGCAAATAAAATTCTCTGTAGGTTGGTTTGATCATGTCTGTCTTACAATCACCAACTAAAATTTGAATAATTTGCGTCAGCTCAATAGTGTAAGTTGTCCTCGTTGCATTACTAGTGGAGTCTAACAAGCTGCTTACTCACAATGTAAACAATGTAGACAATTTGTCAAAGTTCATCCATTTTTTCTTATCTAGTGCTTCAACTGTTGTTCAGACAGCACGAGAATTTGGAACATGGGCGGAGTGCTGAGTCGTTCTCCAACCCTCCTTTGGCAATGATCGCGTAACCAACCCTTCGCATGGGGATTTACAAGCAGTTCTGCACACTGCTGAGAGCCAATTTCTCTCCCAGTCGACCGGGTGAACTCGCTTACAGACAGTGTCGGACAACCCACTTCGGATACTCTGATGGGATCTCTAAGAGTTTAACATAAGACGTCTAACGCTAGCTCCGTGCCGGAAGAAGCCGTCGAGGATCTCAACATTCTGCGTCTATTTCTTCTCAACGAAGAATTTGGTCTAGATATTTTCTCATTTTCGACACGATTGCCTAACGACGGCATCGACATTAGCTGTGTCATCAGCATCAGCTCAGTGTACTCGTGACACTCCTCTCGGCGAGGGAGTAGCCGTCTTTCGCGATATGCTGTTTTTGGTTTCGTTGGTCTCCCAGGAGAGGGAGGGTGGGCTGCGCCTGCCAAGGAGGTAGTGCAATACCGAGGCGACACTGGCAGATCCTCGACAGCAAGCTGCCGAACTGGACCCGCACCCTGAAAGAAATTAGATTAATATCGTGAGGGTCGATGACCCTCGTATCAGATATTAAACTGATAAGAACAGATACTACACTTGATCTTAGCCAAAAGGCCGAGAAAGGTATGCCTCTGCACCCAAACTCGGAACTATATGAGGCTCGAGGGATCTCAGTCCTAGCCCATTGATCATGGGTTTTATTCTATGCAGATTTCGATTCGCTGTTGGTCACTATTTCTCGGAGCGAGTCCCTTCGTGTGCCCTCGGAAGAAAACTGACTGAGAAACAAATTGGAAGCCTATCTCCTCTTAGTCGAATGATATATCGAGTTATATCATTCGATCAACTCTAACGTAGACGGATCGTGTTGTAAGGACTTTCTATTTTTGCAAAAGGAGTGCATATCCACTTCTCTTTGGACCAATTATTAAAAGGTCTAACATGAAATTCGAAGAAGATTCGACTCAGCACACGATGATTTCATCTACATTCTGTCAATCTGTGATTTCACACATGCCGAGATGGGAATACCTAAGACTCGAGGGCTTTGAAGGCTGCGAGGTGGGGATTAACGTAATGATGACTTTCTAGAGAGACAAGATTCTTACCATAAGAACCTGCTCAGCTTTCTCATCCCATATGATCAGTGATTCCCGTTGGCACGTGGGTGTTTCAAAAATCGGCCTACGCAAGCAAAATCAGCCTCAAAGAGTGACGAGGTTCGATGCACATACACCTGAGATCGAGATGATACTACTCTGTACTTTAGGTGCACAGACTGCATACTTCATATCTGTTTTAGCCGAGATCGAAGACACACTGAACGCGCTTTCCGAATTCATATTAATCTTCGCTCGAGCACAACTGCAAGCTGTCTCTTTGAAGGAAGTCAATGTGAATGACCAGTGAAGGTCCGAGTTTCGGGAAGCAGCACGGAATTTGACGTCGAGTTTAGTATCTTTCGGATGTGAGACGGAAGTTCTGAAGGGAAGAAGATGTTAAGACCTTGACAGAGTCTTTGACGTGATGCATTATGGATCACTTCCTTCAAAGATTGTCATGATTTCCGTCACAATCGGGATTCCGGCCTAGAAGAAGTGGGTCAAATCCCAAGTCACTGTCACCCACTGTTGCACGCAAATCCTGAATTTACGAAAGAATAACCGATTCTACGAGCAGCATTTAAATAACAAATCGGTGTCTGGTCACGAGCACAAATTCCGAGAGGAACAATTGGAAAAGGAGCCTTAGTAATCGAGAATCTCGACGCCAGTGAGTTCTGCTCGAGCTCCTGAACAGAAACTCGCTCAGTGCTCATATTCGTTTGGTATGCACACTCCTGTGGTTGGATTATGGTCCAAGTGTTTGATGACCATCTTAGAAATAATCCCTTTGATTCCAGTTACAAACATTTCAGCTCTCGATGAAATTATGAGAGGTCAGCTCCTCTCAGATAATTTGGCTCATGGAACGCACTGGCACCGAGGTGGCCAGAGTCTTGCTATTCTCCACAATTCGCAGAAGTCAAAAGTTCTCATTACTTGCAGGTCACACGAGCTAATCCAGAAAAATGTCGACATTCTGGAAGCCTCATTTCTGTGAACTCATACTCTGGACAGGTTGTGAATCTGTACAGCTGTTACTACCAATTGAGGCCTCGACAATTCAATAGGTAGAATCAATGGCTCGGGAAGTCTATCGATCTGATATTCCCCTGAGACCTGAATGGTGAGTCACTGGCCTTCAACTAAGCCGCACCACGGAGAAGATTGCAAGTCAGATCTCGTTCCAGATTTGACCCGACCCGATGCACGACCGTGCTCAAAGATTGCAATCCTACATTCTGCTGACCGTCCTGGAGGGTCAGGGAGACGAGATGCAGTAGACATGAAGTCTTATTCTGAAATTCGTACCTGTGCAGGTAATTCGATGTCAGATTCTCAGATTTCTCAGACTTCGACCTTTCAGTGCTCCTTCCGAACGGAGCGGAAGGTAACCGATTCACAAATCGAACGGTTAGATTCTGTCTCTTCAAGCTCTCGCTTCTCAGCAGTAGTTCCGTGTGTTCCGAATTCGATAAATCTCATCGCTGAATTTGACATTGTTGCCTCATGGTCGAGTATTGCTCCATTCATCTGCTCTAGTTCACAGGAGCCACTGCAATTGCTTGTTGTCCACTCAGTTCTCGTTCGATGGTCGACGAGAGGTGCAGTGCATGAGTAGAGTTGTATTCGGAGCGTGAAGGCGACAATTTTTCGGATACATGGCGCGGATTGACGAGAATGGAGTGAGGCATACGTTTTTCTCGCTCGGAAACCATCACTTGAACCAATACTGTGCGGCATCATCGGCAGAGAACTTCGTGAGAGAGAAATGGGGCGGGTACGACAATAATGGTGATGAGATTGACAATTCCAGTGCCAGTGCTCAACCGAACGCGTCGGAGGAGAGCGCGTGCTGTAAGCATCTGATCCCGCTCAGCACCGACAGCAGTTGCGATCCGTGCGAGTTTTGTCGAGGTGAGGCGCTGCTGGAAGACGCGGCTCGGAGCAACGCCCTCATTGCTGAAGCAGACGAGTGCAACTGGTACATGGTACGACTCGATGCGGCCAATTAGGTTTCCCCACTCCTCCACGACTTCCTCATCTGCACCTCAATCCGAGTCCACAATCTCCTCCGTCCAGTGCACACCACAGATCTCCTGGCCTGCATCTCGGCGACGAAATCGTCACGAATCATACAGCGGATGCTTATGCTACCACCTGAAAGGCTATTCGCAGTCCCCACTCAAATGTTGCTCGAGAGAATCGTGCAATTTCGCTTAGGCTGTCGCGAAACTTTCTTCATAAATATCTGAAGAGGTGAAAGAGTTGAAGGTCGATCCGATCCAACCTTGAAAAAAGTGTTGCCACAATTTATGCTCTTTGCACCAAAACCCGTCGACCCCAGTTGTGATTTGAGCAGGAGGTGCAGCGAAGTTGCTGGCATTCGAGAGCATTCGAGAGAACTCATCACCTGCACATTCGCTGCTTCCCTTGCAGAACTTCAAGCGCCCGGAATCTGCTCAATCTGCTCAATCTGCTCAATCTGCACAATATCATCCAGCGAAAAGTGCGAGATGCGCGTTTGGGATGCTGCAGATTCTGCCGCGAAGCACTCGAACTGTGAACAAGCCCGCGAGCCAGGGGAGCAGCGAGCCGCCGCAGGTATGGACGCACGCACGCAAGCCCGTCTCACACGACAGCAATCTGAGATCCAGCTCTGCGCTACGGTACAAGGATTGAAAAAGGTCACAGTCTGCTTTCACTCGTAAATCGACACCATCGTCGACTGTGTTGCAATGTCGGTCATCTTTGCACCACGGTGAACGAGAATCCGTGCTCTGACACCGCTTCTCCACTTTGGACAGAGTCTGATTTCCAGCAAGGGCTCCTTTTTACGCACCTGAGCGGTGAAAATGGCTCTCGCAGCAGCAGCATCATCATCATCATCAGCGACCAGTGACTCGTGCTACTCTACGTCGGGACCCGAACGAGAGGAGCTGCATGCAGGCCACCGCAGCTCGTTGGGCTCCATCGTCGTCATTTCCTGGCAAGTTACCGGCAGCACAAGATCAGACTGAGTCGAGTACACCATAGCTGGCTCGATGGGCTCTCGTCTTTTCTCTCGCTGCTAACTAACTGGCGTCGTGTCCACAAGGTGGTGAGGAGAAACATAAGAACCTGGGCGAGGATGAAAGTGCTTTCTCGGCTATCCTCGGGGTGACTTTTAGGAGTTGGTAGGAGCATGTCTATCCTCATTCTAGATATTAAATCTCGCCACCGGCCTCCTCGTTGTCCTGACAAACTAGTCTTCGTGCAACTGATTCTTTACTTGGGGAACGTAAACTGGATTGAGGACTCTTCACACCAGCTCGATGCGATCCGAAAAGGTGATCTTCGGTTGCAGATTTAATGGCTGGGAACAAAAATGTGCTAACCTTCAGAGTTATAAGCTTTTGCATTTTTGTGCTTCAGCTGTTGTCTTCTGCACTGGATCCGAGAACTGCATCCTTTTGAGTATCGTGCCAAATCCCATTTTAGGCATACTTCTCAGGCACTCCACAGGAATCTGGCCACGGAGAGAAAAGTGGTCTGCTTGATATGTTTTACGAAGCTGAAGACTCTGAGTGGTGAAGATGGCTTGCCCTTTTGGAGCTACTGTGGTTGCCGAGATTCGAGCCCCTGCTGGTTAACATGGGATGAATGGGTTTTCCACTCGCAAATGATGATTCACGGGCTCCATACATTGTCGCTAAGATTGTCTTCTTCTCTTCTGGGCTCTGGGCCGTAGAAGGACGGGCCACCACCATAGTTTGTGGAGATATTTAGGGCGGACGTGAGACTGCTTCGACGAGGTTTACTTCGAGAGTCACGTTGTAAATGTGCGTTGCTCTCTCTCTCTCTGCCTACGGCCTAGTCACTCTCTCGCAGTGACGTGATCAGTCTTCTTTTCAGACGAAACGTTCTCGATTGTACAGCGACTCGTGTCCTAGATATCTATCTCCATCTCCAAAAGGGCTCTTGGGCGTGCCCGTGCATCGTTTTATATTGGTCGGTATTGATTTCATGCCGTTTTACTACTGCAGCTCATCTGTGAGGTAGTCTGACCACACTCCGAGCCGCCTGAGGGCACTGAGAATTAAAAGAACGACAAATCACCATGTTTGTAAGAAGCTTGGGAATCTTCCGATTTACAGCAGCTTGCATGCATGGTAAGTGGGAGCCAATGATTACCACACCGAGAGTGTTACACGAAAGAAGCAGCGCAGGAAGGTGTGGCATTGCCTTTCACAACCTCGGAGCACGCTTGGACACCGAATCTACAGCACCGATTCCAAACAGTATGATGTCGATATTCCCCTCCTAAATCTGGAGCATGAGATTCTATTCAGCGTTGACCTGGGACCAAACGGAGCGCAGCTGAAAATAGCGCCTACAGAAGAATTCAGTTCAGCCCACCAGTATAGCGAAAGTAGATAGCGAAAACGTGTTCGTGCATGATGTTCCAGCGATGTTGCCACAAAAGACCGGCGTTTTAAAAACATCATATCTTGAGCTGTGAGCGCGGGCGGGGTCCGACAGCAAAATAAAGCCATCCCGTACAAACGCACAGGCGCAATGAGTTTCTTAGGCATGGACTTGGGAATGTAGCCAAAGAATAAAGCTAAAGGTCGGTCGGTCGATGCGATGGTTTTGCATTCGGTTAAAAGTCGTGAGAGAATTGCAACTTGACCTTCTCAGGAGCTCCGAGTCTCAGAAGACATCGACGAGGTGATTGATTGGCCACTGATGTGCTTCGCATTCGAAGCAGGTCAGACAAGAAGATCACTGGGCCTCATGCTCAATGATATTATAGTCCTGCTCGCTGCCGTCGGGGCCAATCGTGCGTCGAGTCTCATGGTCTTTCTATATTTGACCGGCCGGTTTTCAGTTTTGGTCGCTTTATGACTTCTGTATGACGCCGCCCATCAGTCTCTACGAGATAAGAAGCTTCTGCATTGGAGACGGGCATTAGGCATGAGATATTTCATTGTAATTTTTGTAATATTGTGATTATGATGGCAGCTCAGCTTTTTGTAATAGAGAATTTGGGGATTGAGTACGAATCAGTAGTAGTCAGAGGCAGCAAGGCATGCAGCTTCGATCATGTGGAGTGGAGTGTACAACGACTGAAGAACTGAAGAGTTCAGAACGCTCAGATGTGTGATGAGACAGAAGTGTGGTATTGGGATGCATCCCTTTTGACTCCTCGATCAGACTGCCTTGCTATTATATATTTTTCTGCCTCGTACGTTTTCTGTCCTCTCGCTTTGTTCGTCCTGAGATCCCTATTGCATGTGCATGCACGCATTAGGGATCATGCTCATGCTTTCATTCCCATATAGTCCTATTTCTAATGCACATGCCCCCGAAAGACTCGGAACGTGTTTTACTGCTTGCGGCTGAAAGAAGCCAACCGGAATAGAATGCCAATCACTTGGTCTTTAAAAAGGAATGTGCCAATCACAATATGCTTCTCCCTGGCTCAGTTGGCTCAGAATATGGAAGCTGAACTTGCTTTCTTTGTCTTTTGCACGCTGAATATTCGAGCTGTCCGGTTGACATGTAGTAGCTTTCCTCCACGCAGCATCTCTATGATTCAACGAGGCTGCTGCTGCTGCTGAGCGAAGACTCGAGGCAGGGTCGCCTTGTCAGTCAGTCATACTCTCTGCAACTAACCAACAGTAACATCCTGATTCACAAATAATCAGAACGTTTGCCATTCGGATACTCACCGAGACTGAAGGCCCATTCGCAGTAACGAGGCGTTTCTCCTCTTCTGCTCCGACACCGTAAGCTTCAGACTTTCGTCGTTGAACGGATCGATTAGTCAGAAGCTAGCAGACTCTGATTAAAAGAGGCATAGAAACGGCAATTCAGAACGGGAGATTCATGGTACGTGGTCAGCCACTGCAGTTACCTTCCACACAGATGGAGCTCGACCTGCTGCTGGTTGAGGAATCTCAACGACGAGGCGGTAAATCGTTCCAGCTTTCAGAAAGCCAGCAGAAAAAGCAGTTGGGAGGAAACGCCGCGCATGGGGGCTAGGCAGGGCCGAAGTCTTGGCTCGGTCCTGAGTTGGCATGGCGCTAATCATCACAATGCTTTTGGCAGGCGTGGGCTCCTTGTCGAGTACGTAGGCTTTAATAAACACTGTATCTGACATGGAGCCCACTCGAGAGAAGGCCCAGCAACATGTTCAGTTACTGAGCCTATGGGAGCATGTCTCGATCGCTTTTGGCCGAGTTCCAACTGTCAGTGCGGCTTGTCTTCTGGCGGGAAGGCATGGCACCGGGTCGGAGATATGGGGTGATACGGAAACCCAGCATCTTCGGGGTCACCTGGCGAGTCCGGATCATCTGATTCGCAAGAAATCGGGTCGAGGGGCGGACGGACGACAGGTGGTGAGCGAGAGTCATCATCAGTGGGTCCCCGGAGAGCTCATCATCTCCTGCTCATCCATCACCTTCAATGAGCCCCCCTGCATAATCCAACAAACTGGCAGCAATTTCCATGACACGCGAAGATCACACACACACGCACACACACACAAAGAGAGCTTCGACAGCCCATCCCCATCCCCATCCCGTCCCTCCTCATGGCGACATTCTACTCTCCACAACGGCAAGTGACGGCAATCAAAGCACACCCCCCCTGGCTAGAATGCCGACGACGACGAGCAAGACGAGAGCAGACGACGAAGAGAAGAGAAGAGAAGAGCAGAGCAGAGCAGAGCAGCAACAGAGTGAGTGTGAAAAGGAGGCCTTTGCGATCGAACCATTTCATTTCTTAATCTCCTCGTCGGGGACAACGATCCCCCGACGTCGGTACTACTACACTTTATAAATTACATAGTTTCTCGCTTGCGGAGAAACAACGAATGATGTGTCCTGCCAAACGGCTATGCATTATGTCAGAGCTTACAAAAGGTACATTTGACCGTTGGGCAGACGGGCAGAGAGAGAGAGAGTGGAGGGGGGGGAGGAGAGAAGGGGGAAGAGAGAGACGGAGAGCAGCATGTTTGCAAATTGCTGAGAACCGGAACCCGAACTCGATCTTCGAGCTTAAAAAAATGGACAGAGCACGGAATCCATCGCCACCGCCGCCGCCACCGACAGAGAGGGACAGCAACGAGCCCTCCACCGTAATAAGGAACCGAATTGAATTGAGCGTCGTGAAAGAAACCCGATCCGACGAATGATCGACGAGATCGACGTGATGGGTGGAGGGCTGATCGAGGATCGGGGCAATTGAGATCAGAGCCGGGTGTAGATCCACCAGAGCAGGTTGGACTTGGAATTGCCGTCGTCGAAGCCTTGCAGCTGGTCGATCATGTTGACGGCCGGGTGCGGGTGGTAGAGGTATTGCAGGGCGTAGGTGAAGCCCTTCCAGGCGTCGGTGACGTCGGGCTCGCTGAGGCGCGGCATGGTCCAGTCCACGAGCTCGTGCACGAATTTCTCGTCCGTGAAGACGAACCCGGTCACGGGCGTGATGGGCAGCATCTGAATTCCCAGCCGCATTTCCTTGTTCTGAGGCGCGGCGAACCACAGCCCACTGTCGCGCTTGTTCGCCCACAGCACGCCCACCACTCTGTTGTCCTCCACGAACACATCGTCGTACAGAGTGCTGTGGCGCCGAATGTGCCACAGCGCCTGCGCCGCGTTGATCTCGAACGCCGTGAGCGTCAGCCCGAGCTGCGTCAGCGACGCATCCCCGTATGCCAGCCCGAGCAGCGACGCGGCGTAGTAGGCATTGATGGCCTCGGACGTGCTCTCCTGATTCCTGCCGTCCACGAAATCCGTCAGCCCCGCCGCCCACGAGTGCAGCTTGTACGCGTCGAAGTTCCTCAGCTTGGGCGAGATTTGCGTCCCGGCCACGGGATTCATGTAGTCCAGCATCAGCGCGTACAGATACGTCTTGTATTTCTGCGCCCACTGCCCATCGAGCTTCGCCAGCACCGCCCCGGCGTACACGAAGTAGCCGAAGTGGAAGTGGTGGTCGTTGTACACGCCGAGCCCGAAATCCCCACCCACCTCCGATGCGCCCGTGGTGCTCACGATCCCTCCCCATTTCGTGTCATACACCAGCCCATTCCCCTGGAACGAGTTGTCGAACCACGGGCTCATGGTGCTCACGAGAAACTCTCTCACCTTCTCCACCTCGGGCTCGCAGTTGCCGATCTCCTGCCCGATAAGCGCCAGCCTCGCCGCTCGCGCCAGCTGCTTGCCGTAGAAGTACGTGGCCGTGGTGTTGATGGTGCTCAGATTGGCCACATCTGCCCGCAAGGCCGCCACCACGGGGTCGCGGTACTCGGGCTTCTGCAGGCCCGTGTCGGAGAACCAGCCCACGGAGATTGGCGCCGTGGTGATGGTCCAGGTATCGCCCACCACGCCCTCCAGGGATCCGTCCATGCTGCTGTAGGAGAGGCTGGGAATTGACTGCACGGCCGAGAGGGTCGCATTCTCGCGCTGGTGCGGGAGGCTCAGAATCAGCAGGTCGCCTGAGCCCTCCTTCTTCCACGAGTACTTGGCCTGGAAGGGCACGGAGAAATCCGCCACGCCGCCCACGGGGTAAGCATCCTTGTACTGATCGAGGTAGGCTTCGTTGGAGTCGGTGGCATTGCCCGAGGGCAGAGCGGCGATCCGGATGGTGCCCGTGTAGCGCTGGCCATTGTTGCTGACGGCGAGGTTGCGGTCGACGGGCAGCGGCGCCGAGCAGTAGATGAGCCAGGTCTGATCGTTGTTGAGCTGCACCTTGTGCTTGGTGTTGTCGGCGTTGGACTCGACGCTCAGAATTGCATGCGACGACGAGATGACGGGAGTGCCATCGCGGAAGAGCAGCGTGACGTAGGGGCAGCCGCGCACCACAGGAACCGAGAGGCGGCCCGAGCCGTAGGAGAGGGTGACGCTGAGATCGTCGTAATTGGTGACGGTGTGCGGCGAGGTGCCCTCCTCCAGGCACGAGAGAATGAGATCGGCCACGATGACTTGGAACATGATGGCCAGTTCGGCCATTCGCTTGGGGTAGCAAATCGCCAGCTTGCCATCGGACGACTGGATGCTGTAAGGGTGCAGATACTCGGCCGTGGTGCCCGTGTTCAGCACGAAATTTTGCCACGGCGCGTTCGTGGGCATGGGCGCCACTCGCATCTGCGCGCCCCAGAGCTGGGTCGGATCCGGCGCCACCGACGTGCTCAGCAGGGGGAACGGCGGGGGAGGCAGGTAATACTCCATGTCCTTCGACGATCGACCGATCTGTCCGCGCGCTTTCTGTCGGTAAACCCTATTCCCCCGGCGCAATACTCGATCGCCCGCCCTCTTCTTCCTCTCTTCGCGCTCCCCTTCTCCTTCTCCTCCGTCTACTCGTTTCGCTGCGACAATGCCATAGATTCTGCTTCTCCTGATGCTTTTCTGCTGCCGCCGCTGCTACTACTGCTGCTGCTGCTGATGCTCCGCCCCGCTGCGGGCCTGGGAGATCCGTGAGTGAAGAAGTTCTCTCACAGGGCCTCTCCGAAAGCGGTTGCGCTCGAGCTACATATAATGCAAGCTCTAGAACCACCGCAGCTCCCGGCGATGATGCTCGCAGCTCCTTCCGGGCGAGCGCAGCAGAGCAGGCGTGGGTCGCACTGCACTGCACCGCACTGAGGCGAGGCGAGCTGAGCTGAGCTGAGCTGAACTGAAGGGGCTTGGACTGTGGCACTCCACTCTCGGAGTGTCTACATCCGCTCCTCCTCCCCTCCCCCCCACCTACTGCGAGCTTTTGTTCTCGCCCCCTTCCCTCCGCTCCTCTGTCTGTCACTAGGACAGAGACCGTACCCGGCGCGAACAGAGCTCTGCTCGTCTGCTCTGTCTCGCGCAGTTGCACGAACGGCGTGCTCGCACTGTGCTCTCCCGCGGGACAGATCCGTCTCGCTCGTCGTCGACTGCTGGACTGCGTTTACTGCGAAGGAGAGGGAGAGGGCGAGGGCGGGCCCGAGGGAGGGGCAGGGGAGGGTGAAGAGGAGCAGCTGCTGCTTTACTGGAGTGTCGAGTCGAGAGCTGGGCGCATGAGGACAAGGTGACTCATCAGGGCCTAGTCCCCCTTCGTAGACATGGGCGCCTCTGCACTTCGATCGGCGGCAGTGGCATTTCTCTCTTCCTTCGTCTCCCCTTCCCCCCCTGCCCTCCTCACCCCCTCCTCGCCCTCCCCTTCTCGCCTCCACCATAGAATCGTTAAAGACCGTTGAAGATGAATCCGCTTTACAGCCGTGACGACAGTTCCCACCCCTGCCTCCTCCGCATGTCCCCGTCCCATCGCTCTCTCGCGCAGCGGTCGCAAACAACCCCGTCTTGCGTCCCCGTCCCGTCCGCGCCCTTTGACCGCGCGGCCGGGGTCAACCGCAGGCGCGGTTCGGGTCGAGAGTTTAACTCGAACTCGCAAACTCAACCACCCCGTGAGTTATTTTCACCGCGGTTAGCCCCCCTAACCGCGGTGAAGTAAACCCATGGCCGACCGACTCCGGTTGGCTTGGGGCCGACGTCTTCTTTCTTCTGTCCTCTCTCCCCTCCTCTCGAGCTCCAGTTGTTCGCCGAGAGAGTCGAACTTGTCGCACTTCCCCCCCTGTGGGGGTGGGGTCTCCGTCGGTCGAGTACGACGAGAGAGAGAGAGAGAGAGAGAGAGCGAGCGAGCGCGCGGTCGCTTTTCGGTTGGGGATCTCGTGTCCGGTTGGGGGGCCGACGGGACGCTGAGCAGAGAGCAGCGAGCAGCGAGCGAGCGGGCGGAGTTCGGTACATGCGCGCGAGGTGACAGGCAGAGGGGCCTGATCCCTTCCGCGCCAGAGGGCTCTGGCAGAGCGCCACGTCGCGCCTTTCACCGACAAATCATCAATGACTGGTGATCCGCGCCGGTGGGCGACGAAGCTACGGGCCCGACTTCGTCATCCCTCCCTCTGCGCTGCAATGCGTTGCGCCGCGCAGCCCTCCCTCTCCCTCTCCGTGTTGGCGTCCGCCGTGTTTTCGGTCTCTGGTCGATGGGCTTTCTTTGCGTGCGTGCGTGCGTGCAAGGATGCGATTCTCGATCGCCCGCCCGCCAGCGAGCCTGCGCTGCGTGGGGGCCGATGACTGGCCCATCGTTTCGTGCCGAGGCGAGCTTGCTGCTTCGTCGGTACTTGCTTCCGACCGAGATTTATGATGGCGGAATGCACTCGGAGTAAAACAAAGCATGCTGCCATTGTAGCGGGCTAATTTTGTTCGGGCTGTCCGTCGACGAAGTCCGTGCGTACGGAAGGAAGGAAGGAAGGCCACATTTCCACTCAAGCCACTCTGAACATCCATCGCATCGAGCGAGCGAGCGAGCGGCTGCATTCGTGTATGTGTTGTGAGTCGGAAGTTACCGAATCATTTCCCGAAGCGGCATCTTGCGGCGTCGCAGGAGAATGGTCAATGTCCAGTGAAGTGTCGCTGTCTTCTTCCCCTTTCTCTCTCGCCCCTGTCGACCGACTGATATGCCTCTCTCTCTCTCTCTCTCTCTCTCTCTCCAGGCTTCTTGCGTGAGCTAATTTAGAAGGCACACTCGCAGGTCACGTAATTGGTGCTGCTATAGATGGTCTCGCCTCTGCCTGCGCCTCGATACGCGACGTGTGTGTCTTGTTTCTTGCCGCTTTTAGGCCGGTCCACCATCAGGCGATCCACGGCGGGCGAGGGCGACGGCGAAAGCGAAAGCGCGTTTCTGGCAGGAGCCAATTCCATCCTCGTCTGCGGATCCGAACGACGATCGGCACTCGCTCTTCCTCTCCTCTCCTCTCCTCTCATCTCATCTCATTTCACAAGATTTTCACGTTCCCCGCGGAGTGTTATTGTTCTCGTTGTCACTATTGGCTCTCGGCCATTTACTGACAGTCAGAGCGCCGCAGGTGTCGTGGAGCGGCGCGCACGGTCCAGTCGGGAGGGAGCTCGGGTAGGGAAGCAAGCAAGCAGTTGTGGGATGCAAGAAATGTCCGTCCTAGTGGCGCACAGCCATTAGGACGGTGGCCACTTGGTGGTGACTCGAACATCGGTGAGATTTCCTGGTGCAAGTTGAGACTGGAGTGCGACGACGGTCGAGAGAAATTGCGCCGGGCATCGACGAGGGCAGGGGGAGAATGATATGATGAACAGAAGAGTCTTGCAATTCTCTCGAGGAGTTTGCGTGGTGCCTCTGAGACATGGCCAATGAATCACATTGACACACTGCTGCCGAGCCGAGCTTATTGACTGACTCACTGACTCACTGACTTGCCGGGTCAGGGAATTGTCCATCTACTTACTGCCTAAGCTTCGAAGCTAATGCGCTTCGGTAGGTGCTGCTGCTGCACCTACCGAAGAAGCACTAGCTCAGAGTTGTCACCAACTACACTCGACCTACTTCCAGTCCTATTGCCATCGCCGATACCGAATATTCCTCGCGCTTATCCATCGCGCTGACTTCCTTCCTTTCTTCCTTCCTTGCTGCGGATCTGGTCCACTCCGTCGCTCCAATTCTGCTGGTTAAAATCGCACCCCCCCCCCTCCACAAACTGAACATTGTGGTCTATCGTGCACATCGCGGAACCCTAAACGCGCTAAAGTTCATAAAGTAATGGCTGTGGAATTCGACAAGCAGAGGATATAACATTCCATTCCTATGTATAATATCGATTGCACCTATTTGGCATCCATCCATCATCAGCGAATTGCACCCCCGAATTGCCGCCTCTGCATAGTTGATCGAACAGCGAAGTAAAGGTCCACAGTCCCGACAAGCCACGTCCGATGCGTGCGGGGCGGGGCGGGGATCCGATACTGAGGAGGGTGGTGGTCTCGTGCCTGTTCTGTCGATGAGGAGCTCCTTCGTCTTCTCGTCTGTCATCAAACTGTCGATCTGATTATTCGTTCCTTCAAGTGAATGTCCCGACATTCATCGCTCGACGAATGTTTGCGCGACTTCTCGATACTTTGTTTTTCTTCCTGCGTGGCATAGGTATTACTGCTCGAGCCCAACTCAGTGACCGGGGAAATTGGGGCTCATCCCCAGGGGAGGAATTCTGCCAAACGGTGGAGAAAGAAGTGGATTTGGATTTGGGTCGTACAGTCGCGCTGGAGCTCAGACAGCCTTCGATCTCGGGCGAGGAAAGAGGTTGGTAATTTCCATGATGGAGAGAGAGGCCTCGACGAGGACGGGATCCGAGCTCTCGACCGCGTGAGAGTTCGGGGCCGAGCGAGCGAGGGGCAGATAGATCCAGGGTGTTGCATGTCGGCTGGGCAATAAATTCTGACGGCCTCGGCAAATTAGGTCTGCAGTTGTCTCACGTGTCGTCGGCTCCGTGGCGGGGCTCACGGAATTACAGAATTGCAGAAGGGCCCAAAATCATTGGACTCATTGTATATGGACTTTTTCAACGATCTAGACCTCACTATGATTGATTGCAAGGTATTTGAAGCCCGCATTGCGTATGCCTGTACGGTGCTGGTGCTGGTGCCTGCACCGGCGTCTCGACTGCACAGCTCTGACTCGTACGCTGGATTGCACTCGAACCACACCAAAGCCCGCCAAGTACTTACTTCGGTAGCATCGCTGCCCGCACCCTCCTCGAACCCGGCCTTCTCTTCTCTTCTCTTCTCTTCTCTTCTGCTCGGCAGTCCTCGGTGGACACTGCGCTGAAAATCAGAGCCATCGCTCTAGCTCGCGTGATTGGACTTCAATTTTATAATCATCCGAATTCCCCCCCTCCCATGACATCCAAGCCCACTAACCCATCGAAGAGAAATCATCAGACGTGATGTGATGTGGTGTTCGTGATCTGCAGTCCTAGAAGGCGAGCACTCCACAAAAACAGGGCAGGGAAACCCTCGGACATTATAATACTCGAGTACAGTATTCGCCATGGAAGGTCATGTGAAGCACGTACTGAAATGAACTGACTGACTGACTCCCTACTGAGCCATCCCATCATCTATGCCATCGCACTGCGTTGGTCAACTTCTTCGAGCATCACAAGCGCCGCTCTGGCAATAATGACTGACTGACCTGACAAAGCTTTCAAGCTGGGGTCAATATTCCTGCTCGAAGGCGTTTCACAAGTAGGAAGCCATACCTGTACAGTAGTAGTTGCCATCAGTCTGCTGATTTTCTTCCCTTCGAAATTCTCCAGTTCACGCTTGCTAAGTGTACAAGAATTTGGCTCCGAATTTCTGTTGGTTTCTACGGGTCGATCTCGGCAATAATGTGGCTCAGAGGTATTGAGCTTTGAGCTCGACTGATTGTTCACCCACCAAATGCCACAGCTACAAGCAGAGAAAGCTAGACCTTTGAGGACATGCGTTGCCTTCTTCAGCAGCAGCAGCAGCAGCAATCGAAGCTCTGTGTGTTGATATGCCCCGTTCAACATCACGATGAGCTTCGTAGATCACGGACTAAAATTTTACAAAGTATCGCAGCTCTGTCGGTACCTTGTCATGGTACACATCATGCTCAGATACTGCGACTCCGTCGAGCATCGTTGTGAATTCACTTTCCGCCTTTATTGCTCTGGGTGCCGCTCACCTGTTCCCTTGCTCGCCCGGGGATGTATTTAAAGATGGAATTAGTAGAATTCCGCATGAGAATTCATTGGAGGAGGCATGTCCGAGGTCGTACCGAATTACTCTTCTTCCGATTTAATGACTCGCTCCGGCATGGCTAGCTGTAGGCGAAACGGTATCTTACAGAGCCAGCATATAAGCTAGCATGTTAGAATGGAATGGCTCTTTGCCGAGCTGGTTGAGGTGGGGTTTTCGTCAATCGAGGTGCAGATTGTGGAATTCTTGCGCTCGGGCAGCCAGACACGTCTTTCGCAGCCGGTTCCGATTGGAGGCACGGAGAAAAGGTAATTGCGTGCATGACAAAGAGCTGAATGTCAATGAGTGAATCAACGGCAGTCACCTTTGAAGCACCCGTGATTTCACCCATGGTATGTCGAGATTACATCGACTGCCCGCACTGCAAGAGGAAGATCCACTGCTCAGCATGTGCGAAGCTCGAGGATCAGTGCAAGACTCCGAAAACGCGCCTGCAGTCAGCGGGTTACGGCCTACTCAAGTGCAGAAAGTGTGCTTCTCGAGAGTGCAACGAGCTCGAAGGGCTGCGCTTCAACGTGGAGCAGAAGACCAAAAGGATTCGCGAGCTGGAAAGCGAGCTGCGCGAAGCGAAAGAGAACCATTCCAAGGTCGTGAACGACGTGACCAAGGCCAGCGAGAAGGCCATCAAGAAGGAGCAAAGGACACATCGAATTGCCGTGAAGAGAACTGAGAAAAAGCTGTTGAGCAGGCTGAATTTCCTCCAGCTGCAAGTTCCCAAGTCATTCCAAGCGTACGAGCCCGAGGCTGTAGCTCTTGCTTTCCATGGAAACCCCTGGATATGGGCTCATCGTCACATACTGGTAAGCAGGCTTCTGAGGTCCCACTACTGTCAGTCAGCTCAGAACAGTCTGAGCCTCCCATCCTTCTTCACCTTCCAGAGCTTGTAATGCGGTTGATCTACGCATTGCTCCCGAAGGAGAAGGAAGCAAGCCTCTTGTAGTTGTTGAACGCTGCGACTCATTCTCCATATCCGCGTTCGAGGACCGTCTCCGTGAGTGACCGATGGTGCACATCCAAATTTATGCGACCCCCTCCTCGATCATTAAAGCACTAGGACAAACTCAGCGCCTGCTGTCTGTGTCAGCTTTGCCCGACGTAATGAAGACTGATGAAAAGTGTCCAAATCCGGTGCCTGCAGGTTGCCAAGTCGTCTCTGTTCCACACAATGCTACAAACGGTGAAGGTGGAGAATGGGTACAAGTATCTAGCCATTCGAGACACGACTCTGACCATCATGCAGACCATGGTGAACTTCTGCTACACGGGGCTTATAGAATTCTCCGACGAAATTACTCCAGAGGCGATGCTGCAGGTTTCTCATAAATATGGCATTCCGTATTTGAAGGGCCTGTGTGATGATGAGCTTTGTAAACGACTCGCTCCTGAGAACATAGGAAAAATGATCAAACTAGCCAAAGCTTACGATGCCCCGAGGCTTAAATCTCAGACAATGGACTACTTGAAAGACAACTTCGAAATGATGCGCGATACTGTATTTGAAAGTGTTTGACAAACGTTGATCAAACTAGAATCAGCATCTACTTCAGTCCTGTTTTAGGACTTGAGGCCTAGATTGTTCACACGGAGATGAGTGCGAGTGGTTATCTCAACTTGTATGGGAAGAGGGCTGGCATACACCAACCTGAATGTCGAGGCTGTCTTCTGGCATGTGAACGAACCTCCAATGACTTCCGAGACTTTTCCATCCATTTAGATTCGATATTCGAGCTGACATGGTAAGAAGCGAGCACCCATTTTCCAATGTCTGCTTCTGAAAAGTTGATGAAACAGGACGAGAAGAGGGACACCAAATTTCTGTATGAAACCGACGAACATCCCTGCAATGTCTTCATCCGGAATGTTGAGGCGGATTTGTACCAAGTATAGCCTAACGATGCTTCTAAATAACTATTTCTCACGTTTATGAAGTCTGCAGTACCGAAGTACGTGTTGACTGTATGATGTGGTTGCTTCTGAGCACTTTGGAATATGCTTCAGAGGGTATCGATTGGACGGCTTGAACGAGGTGTGATGCGGTCTTGTAACTAAGTTCATGGTTCAAACATCTTACATAATCTCAAACGTTTGTTTCAAGTCCGTCCATGTTTTTCTCCTGCTAACGGTACGACGCATCCTACTGCCAGAGTAAATGTGGCAGTAGTCTTGTGGATGAAAGGTCCAAGCAGGACTATCACAAGAGACAGTTATTGAAAGCGTCAATCCATTTCCTGACACTAATTTCTGAATGGTACACCCTTCAAAAATTGCTGTGTTTGGGCATTCTATTTGCCTAATGTCATGATTGTGGTATTTGCGTCTTTAGGAATCTGGCAGGTCTGTAGCACTCAACTCTCGGGTAAGGAGAAACGTGATGGATGTTTACATTGAATTTACTCTCCATTCAGATCCGAAATGTAGGTGTGGAACGAAATATTTCGCATACAAACATTTGTTTCATTCCAGGACTTCTATTCTGCACGTCTGTGCAAGAACAAACTGGTATCCTGAAAGAGTGTAATTGAACGTACGTGTACAGATTTCTCATGGAGCATTTATGCGCATCATGTTTCCACTCTGAACAGTGTGTATTGTAATAGTTAGAGCGCAGATCAGTTCCAAGTGATGTTCGATCACAACATCATTAACCCTTTACATCGCTCCGGAATGCCCGCTCGTGCACTGCAGCACGGACCAAATCCTGGAAGAATTGTTTTCCGGTGCTCGGACAGCGGGATGTAAGTTTTAATATTCCTCACTCCCTTCAACAACACACATCTTCGTCGGAAATGTGGATGCGTTACGACTGTGCACACCACGACTTATTATAATCTTAAGTCCAACGAAGAACCGTACCGAAGACGGCATCTATCACTGACAGAAGCGGAGAAAGATACGGTGCACCTCATATCTTTACATGGTACTAGAATAACTGAATCCGGATTGTGAAGATTGTGATCGTTGATGGTGATGTAACGATGTCTTAAAACCTTCAATAATGATGTCGAAGACTTCGAATTTACTTGGCTCACAATACCATCAGTGATCGTACTAGTCTTTGTTTAATCCACAAACGAACCGTACCTTCGAAAATATCGAGGATCGAAATATTTATTATCGGAACACTGATCTTTCCATGACAGGGGCCAGCCAGCAGGTACATAAACGTGATTTACGCTTTCATGGCTACTTAACCGCGAGTAAGTATTGCCTTGATTAACGCACCTTCAACTCCGCCTATTGGCCTGCTTGTTCTACATATAAATCTCTCTTCAGCTCGAAGGACATTTCTTTAACCCATGGATGGGAGTGGAACAAGTTTTAAAACCTGACCATGGTACCGACCGTATCTGAAACGAAAGAAGGCCTAATCACGGCTTGCCTGCCCGGAGGATAGCGATGAGTAATCTTACTGTTTGATGCGGTGATCTAATTTCATGTGGACAGAACTTACAGAGCTTTAGCTTTTCAGAAAGTGTCTCCTACATCATCATGCAAGTAAAAGGAAATACTGCCCAAGATCTCACGGCTGTGAGCAGTACATTTTGACTCTTTCGGCTGGATACTCAAACACAGATGGGAAGAATCAAAGTTCCATAGAACAGCATGTACGCACAATCACGCCTAACAGAGGGTACCTGAATCAAAAATCGTTATTCCACACCACATGTTTCACAAATTTCTAGACTGGCAGATTGATGAATGAAGGCATGGCTTGGCTCCCGTCTTGAGCCAAACTAGCAAGTAAATGTACAATGTAAGTAGTATTGTACTTGGGTACGTATCGCAGGCTCTTTGTCTGCTGCTATCAAGATACGGACTTTCTCTCAAGGATAAGTTCAAACTGATCCAGAAAAGATAAGAAATTTACAGCATTTAGATTTAAAACAAGAACGAGGTGTAAGCGATGTTTTTTGCAGAATGTGTGAGCAGCATTGCTATTGCATGATATCTTTATGAATGTTCGAAATCAACTCTGAGGTGCGAGGTCTTCGCTTGCTCTCAGTCGACATAAATCTGATATGGTTGCCAACTCATGAAATCCCAAGTCAGTGAAGTGAGTTTCTACCCAGCAATGGCAGAGATTTGAAGAGTGGAAGGAGCAATGAACTTACCGACTGCGAAGATCGAGGTCCAGCAGCGATCTTGCATTCCCCACAGTGGCCAGAGGGCATCTACTTCCCACACAGTGACCACTTTAACCCTCACGTTGGAGATAGACTGGAAAATTCACCAAGAATCTTGGTAGCGTATGCAGGCTAATGTCTTCAAGCGTGTTCACAACTATGATCTGATGCACGTTCAATAGTTATTGGAAATTGTAATCTAAAGTCGATATGAAGCTCGCAATGCCGCATAATGTGCAGACTTGGATAACCAACACTATCATCACCAAACCAGTCGATGAGTTGACTGAAGTTTGGTCCGGCTTCTTAGTCCGGTGCCGACGCGAGTGAAGCACACGAGAGACGCCAAGCATCGAAAGAATATTAGCGAGAGGACTTTTCATTGCGTGTATTGGAATAGAACAACAGAAGTATGAAACTGAAAGAGACGCATGCCATTCCAAGCATTCATTGACCAACTTGTATCCACTTTTTTCGTGAACTATAAAATTGACTTATCACAGAAACCGTGCGTTTTTTCGAACCTAAAATTGTATATCTTACCTCTAAGCAAAAACAGCTTGGCAGCAAAAGGCGGTGCAGTCATATATTGTTGTCTCCAGGATCAAACAGCAGCAGCCTTCTAGGAACGTGAGTGGACAAGGATGGGTCTACTAAAATTGTATGTGACGACACCAATTGGAATCTACTCACTCCTCGATGACAAAAGCGTCCTCAGTAGCTTGATGGTTCAAAACTGTGATGGAGGAATTCATGCTCATCCATCATCTCACGTATTCCCAATGTACTGCTACGTACTATGATAGAGTATATCATATGTATGCCACGTACAAGACAAATGATCGGGTTCTTTGAAGTTTCATGTGACTGAAAAATAATTTCCTGAAGAACGTCTTCGTCGATCTTATCCACCAACAGGGCATCTGTAATCTGATCTGTATCCACCATTCGCACCAAGCTATCAGGCACTGCAGACAGCTCGGGACCCGCTTCAATATGGCGCTCATCAATTCTGAGCTCTACTCTTTGAATGCTGCTGTTCAAGCGTGTGCAAACTTATCATCGATCCTGGAGCGTTTGTCAGTCAGACCTGCAGTCAGACTCCGTGGCATCTGTGGAAAGCAACTCCGTCTGAACCGAGATGTAACAAAATGAAGTGTGAACCCATCGTGGGTCACTTACTGATTAGTCCGTTTCCTGCAAGTCATTTTCGATGACCCTGAAAACACAGAGCAATTACAATCTCAATCTCATAAATACATGGATAGAGAAGCCTCGTCTTTGTCCACAATCCGTTCAGAAGGCCTATATTGTATATTTAACAGAACAGACTGGATTCCTCAGATTACAATTATGTTGAAGCGTCGTGAAGGGAACAATTTCTTGCTATATTTATGGATAAAACTTAATTTCTTCCAAAAAAGAGATGATGCAGAGAAGCGAGAAGTTTCACCGGAGATGGCAAATTTGTAGAATGAAAGGTCCAGTGAAGAAGTGAACTTAATCCGTGTTCACAGGCATCCTTTCAACATGTCAACAATGCCATGGATGGGATCAGAAGAAAAGAAACCAGATTTCCTACAAAAAGAGAATGTAACGAATGGTCATAATTCTGGGATGCTCTACGACCATCTTCAGCTCTGGACCTTGACACATACCATCTCCATATCTTACTTGAATTGGGTCTGCCAAAGTAGACGTAAAGTGAAGGCTCTTTGGCTCCCAGGGTTTCGCTTGCGGGCCGGAATAGGAAATATAGCCCCTCAACTAGATCCAAGGGCAATCAGCAGTACGTTTCGACTGTGATCTCCACCATCAGTTATTCATTTCTGGATGTTCCTTGCAGTCCTAGAATCATCTCACTCAAATTGACTCTTACCTTCATCTGAGGAGTTTCGAAACTCGGAGCGCCTGGCCTGACCCTTCATCCAAGAGGTTATCCTTCATGTGACCCATGTGACGATTTAATCATTATGCTTCCACCATGATCGAAGGTTGATCAGCATTTGCAAGTGACGGACAGGATGAGATCTCGAGAATTCTCTGAGTAGGCACGAATAGTTCTAAGGGTGTGTTCATACTGCCAGAAAGTGAAGGTAGCATCTGCCTGGATGCTCTACAGGCACTAAGTCTGCCTGGCGACAAAATTCTGCTCTGTCTCGACCCAAGAGGATAACTGCAACTTATCGTTCCCTCAAGTCCAGTCCTCAGCAATGTCAACCAAACATCACTCTCGGCCTTGACAAGTGGGGCAAGTAGCCATCCTCCAACAACCACGAGGAGATGGAGTTTAAACAACATGGAAGGCATCAACAATACCAGTGTACTCGACTTGTAGCAATCTTTCTCGGAACCACCTGTTACAGCAGAGGACAGCAATCCATTATACCAATCATCGGGCGATGTCTGTCTACCTTCAGGAATGATTCTCAAGGCAAAAGGTAGATCAAATCCACATATTCCGGAAAGAATTTCTGTGAAGAACTGTGTTCTACTTGATGAAGAAGTACATATATGTAGCCTGATCGGTAGCTGCCATCACACTGATGGTTTGGGTCCTTCACAAGGTCCTAGACATCAATATATGTCTCCACTTGATATGAGTTTGAATTTTGAGTTCTTCTCTTTAGTAGAGAATATGTGTGATCGAAAAGATGAAAGGAATTGGCAACTAACTACGGTTTCATGAACTGATAAATTGATGATCCTGTAAAATGTGACCACACGAGGAGCACCTTGTCATTTCGATCATCTGAATCTCCAAACCAAAATTCCAACTCACAGCTGCTTTGGCTCGAAATCCAAGTGTCAGCATCTTTAGCAGCATCTTCTGTGAGCGTGACCGTCCTTTGACCAGCCGACTTTCATGAAATTCTGATTTAGTTCTTGGAAGAGGCAATTGTATTTATATACAAGCTAGTGTTGTTCATAGCCGTACAAAAAAAAGTGTTACCAGGGCGGCGATGATATGAGTTTCAGTGAACCGTTCATAGTATTCCACACGAAGGAGTCAACTATTAAAAACTGATCCGTATAAGAAATCTTCGCAACTTTTATATAAAGGGACTTCATTATTCATTTCTAGTGCTCTAGGCAGTAGCTAGATAAGTCTTTAGTATCATTTTCGTGAAGTGATTATTCATTTCTAGTGCTCTAGGCAGTAGCTAGATATGTCTATAGTATCATTTCCGTCGTCAGTGAATGTACGACTTGTTATATGTTTCAACCTTTTGACCATTTGGTCCCACGGGGTATATATATACCATTGCGTTTCACAATATGCAATGGATCACTCAGAATCACTCAGAATCATTTATATATAAATTGCAAGAATGTCTCAACGCTTCCGACATAAAGCTTAAACGTTTCAGTGCTCCACGCCATTCTGGCCACAGGGGTTGGGTCATCAGGTAGATGGATGTCAAAGGGCAGATCAGATGAACAAACCCAAGGTCAAGATGGAAGATCTGATCTCTTCCACCTGAAGGACGCAAAGACCCCCATCTAACCACGGTCCCTACCACCTAGGACCAATTCTACCCAGTTTCAAATCTTTGGTCATGAATGAAATATAAATATCGGTGAATGATTATACTATGATAGATGTGAATGATTGTTTTAAAATTTTTAACAAAAAAAAAATGTAGCGTATGGTGAAAGAAATATTCGTAGCTCCAGAACTGTCTTCATTTCTCAAAGAATATCAAGATATATTGAATCTAAAAGGATCACGGTGTCTATTTGATGTGACAAACTTTGCATGTTGGATAGCGAGAAAATGCATCCTTCATACTCATAAACTGAAATTCTCTAAAGTGAGATTATAAGGATAAGTTATCACTTGGCCCCCTCTTCATCACAATGGTTCAATATATGTTATATACACATACTGACATAAGATTTCCATAAAGTAGATGAAATTTAGTTTATCTGGCAATACATTTATTCAAAACTTGTAAACATCTCCAATTAATCAAATTTTAAATCTTGACCAAATAAATCTTTGCAATCTGCATTTAATATACCTATGATGAAGTATCTACATGTTCCACTCATATTCCTGCTTGTCATGAATCAACATCTGTTCAAAATAAGATAATCAACAACATCATTCATTTTCTCATATTAAAATATATTATACATGATATCATACATGATATGAGTTATCATCTCCACAAGCTTCATATCTATCCGTAAAACTTATTAAAACATGGATAAAATTTTAGAATAAAGACTAAAGATAAACAAGCAAGGATACGTAGATCATTTCAGTTCAACTTTTTAACTACAAGATGAATATATTAGCAGAAAATAATCGATTGAATCAAGATAAAAGTCAAGTTACATATTTACCAAAAAACTAGAATTTTTATTAAAAAAAAGTGTAAAATAAAATTGTTCCATTTAGATTGCTTCACTTTCAGTTTGTGCAAACGTTTGGCCGAATAAAGCTTTTCAATTTTTCTTTAATGACTTATTGTTCTTTAAACTTCTCTTAACATTTTTCCATTTGTCTGTTTCATGTAAAAATGTATGATGATTCCTTGCAGCACCTAGAATTTAATTTTACTAATAACTGTCAAAATTCTCAAAAAACCAAAACCAATTTTAATGATGATGTCAATAAAATTTCAATAGAAAATTTCTGAATCATTTATCAACCATCGAATGTATCACAGGATAGTATCCATATACTAAATAGTATCATAACTGTTGATTTTTTTTTAAAATTAGTGTCATATTTCATGACAATATATCTTATTATACAAATCTTCAAAATTATTTGAAGAAAATTCTCAAATCTAAGTTTTATTTATTGATTACACTTGTAACAATCACTGAAAATGTGCAATTCTGGTTGCTCATATTAATTCTCAACTGTCACTATGGATTTGAATTTACCTCAAATTAGTTAAATTATCAATTGTTTAATCTTTCAAGAATATTTGAAATCAATAATTATCCAATAACGTTTAGAATATGACAAACAAATCTCATCTATATCAACCCACAACTTTAAATCATTTTCACATGTATGTTGAACCAATATAATTTATCAAACTAGTTTATGGTATAAGCATTTACCACATAAGACTCTTTGATTTACGAGTTTTTTCTATTTCTGTTAATAATAAAAAAAATTAAAAATTAAAAAAAGTAATTATTATTTTTAATAATTATTACTATTTTAAATATTATTATTTTTCATTAAAAAATATTATTATTTGGCAGTAATAATATGTATTCATATTCATCTAAAGATATTTAAATTGAATTCTACATGAAAAAATAGTAATTTTGCACATCAAAGTAATATGAGTTAAAAAAATTTGTTTTTTTTAAATCTTGAATATCAAAAAGAATAATTAATAAGATTTGAACTTTGACGATTATTATATAGTAAATTATTTATGATGAGACCAAATTGAATATTACTTAACGCAGAAGTAATTTCCGATTGGAAAAATAAAAGATAAAAAATTAAAAGAACATATCTTGCTACTGCCAATATTCAAAAATAGGATAAAATATTCCAGTTATAAATATATTTCTTATCCCCGATTTGTAATTTTAAAAAATTTCAAATAATTATTTAACTGAAATAAATATAAGTTTTTAATGATGAAGTAATAACTTCAAAATTATTATTTTTTTAGTTTATAGTTTGAGTCTTAATCTTTGAAACAATTGTAAAAAATAAAAAAATGTAAAGTATGATGCAACTATTCAATGATAAAAAGGTATTTTTAAAATATTAAAAATTATTAAAATTAATATTTTTAATACAAATATAATATAATATAATATAAATTAATTAAAAATTCACATTGATGATCTAGATATATAAACCTAAAAATAAGTAGCAGTATGATGTATTTTAAAACTTTTCGATACTAAAAAATAGTGATACTTGTGTGTATTTGTTGTCAAAATATTTATTATTAATAGTTAAGAAATAAGCTCTAAGAAAAAAAATTTATAAAATAAAAAAAATTATAAATTAATTTTTTAATATACTAATTTTAATAAAAAAAAACTTATACACAATAAAAAAAGATTTTTACTGAATTTAAAAAACAAAAAGTTTCAAATTAATTTTTTAATTAATTTTTTAATTTTTAAAGTAGACTGATTTTTTGAAATATTTAATTAATTTTGTTATTAAAATTTAATGAAATAGAAAAAAAATTTACAAGTTTTAAGTTTTCTAGTTTATGAATTAATCTGTAAGTTAAATTTTCCTCAATGAAATTCTATGAATCCCAAAGGAAGAAAAGCTTTGAATCATCTTTAGAAAGATTTCAAAAAAGGATTTTTCAAATTTGCATTTTTTAAGTTTTTTTTGAATTTAGATTTTTCATCCAAATTTCATCAAAAAATGTCAAGAAAAAAAATTTGATGCGGAAATTTTTTGAAAATTAAAATTTTAAATTTTTTTCAAAGATCCTATATTTTTGGTCACGTATTGCTTTTTCATTTAAAAGACTAGCTTATACATATGAAATATATTAGTGTCAAAAAAATTTGACAAACTTTAAAATGAAATTGGTAAATTTATTCTATATTTTGAGTTTAACTATTTTTTTGATGCTATATTGTTCAACATAATTTATTGATTAGTTCAATAAATGCTAACTATGAGCAAGATCTAGATGAATATTTACATTTGAAGATGGATACATAATATTGTCAAAAACACTAAAAATCAATATCTTTCAGACGTTGAAAAACTGAAAGCAATAAAATTTGAGAACGAAACAATTTTATTACACAAAAATTTTATAAAATAAATATGCAGAATATCCACTATAATAATTAAAGTCATCTATATTCATGGATTAAATCATATACAATACAATGACATGTAATATAATATTATTTTGAAAAACAAATATTCAACATGATTCCCATGTTATCATCAATTCAATAAATTTAATAACGTGTTGAATAAATTAATTCAACACGTTATTTTGCAATAGTGATACTCCATATGAGTACAAGTATACTAGTAATCATGTTGAATCTGATTATGAGATGTCTCTATCAATTTGACCTATGGCTTCATTTTAGAT